CAGTTTGCTAGTATTTTATTGAAGATTTTCCACCTATGTTCATCAGGAATATTGGCCAATAATTTTCTCTTTTGATCTCTTTATTTGGTTTTGGTATTAGGATGATGCTGACTTCATAAAATGAGTTTGGAAGTTTTCTGTTTTTTGAAGGAGTTTAAAAAGGATTGGTATTAATTCTTCTTTGAATACGTGGTGGAATTTAGCCATGAAGATACCTGGCCCTGGACTTCTTTGTTAAGGTTTTCAATTGCCGATTCAATCTATTTGTTATTTCTTTCAGGCTTTTAATGTTTTCTTCATTCAGTTTTGGAAGGTTGTATGTTTCTATAAATGTATGCAGCTTTCATAGGTTACCCAATTTGTTCATGTATAATTGTTTATAATTGTCCCTTATGATCTTTTTTATTTCTGAGATATCCTTTGTAGTGTCCACTCTTTCACTTCTTATCTTATCTATATGGTTCTTCTCTCTTTTTTCCTTAGCTAAGAGAGTTTGTCAATTTTATCTTTTCAAAAAACCAATCATTAGTTTTATTGATTTTTTTCAATTCCCTATTTGACTTATTTCTCCTCTAATCTTTAATACTTCCTTCTGTCTGCTAAATTTGGTTTAGTTTGTTCTTCTCTTGTAGTTTTTTGATGTATAGAATTACAGTGTTGATTGGAGATCTTTTTTAATGTAGATGTTCAGTGCTATAAACTTCCCCCTTAACACTGCTTCCGCTCCATCCCTAAATTTTTGGTATGGGTTTGATTTTCATTTTTGTTTGTTTCAATATACTTTTTAAGTTCTTTGATCATTTACACTTTTACCCAAGGGGTCTTTAAAAATGTGTTGTTTCATTTCCACATATTCATTAATTTTCCATTATGTATATATGCATGCATGTATGTATGTATGTATGCATGCATTTATTTTGCTGTTATTGATGTCTAGTTTTCTTCTGCTGTGGTCAGAAAAAAATTCTTGGAATAGTTTTAATTTGCTTGAAATTGTTAAGACTTATTTTGTGATGTAACATGTGACATATCCTGGAAAATGAACCTAGTGCACTTTAGAAGCATATGTGTTTTTCTACTATTGGATGCAAAGTTCTGTATATGTCCATTTGTTCTGTAGTATTGTTCAAATCAGCTGTTTTTTTTAATGGATTTTTTTGTCTGGACATTTAATCCGTTATTGTAAGTGGAATGTTGAAGCCCGCTACTGTTTGCTGTATTGCTGTCATTTTGTCAGTTGTCAATTTCTTCCTTCTGTTGGTATTTGCTTTATGTATGTAAGTGCTCTCATGTTGGGTGCATATGTATTTTCCTGTTGAATTGATCCTTTTATTGTTACATAATGTCCTTCTGTGTATATTTTATTTGATGTAAGTATAGCCCCCTTCTTTCTCTTGGTTATCATTTGCATGGAATATCTTTTCCTATTTCTTCATGTTCAGCCAGTGTCTTTAAATCTATAGCAAATCTCTTGTACATAGTGTGTTGATGGGTGTTTTGAGTTTTTAAAAATCTGTTTAGCCAGCCACTCTATGCTTTTTGATTGGTGAATTTAATGCATTTACATTTTTGATTTTTTTTAATATAGTTTATTGTCAAGTTGGTTTCCATAGAACACCCAGTGCTCATCCCAACAAGTGCCCTCCTCCATGCCCATCACCCCCCTTCTCCTCTCCCCACCCCCATCAACCCTCAGTTTGTTCTCAGTATTTAAGAATTGCTTGTGGTTTGCCTCCCTCCCTCTTCTTAACTATTTTTTTCCCTTTCCCCTCCCCTATGGTCCTCTGTTAAGTTTCTCCTTTTCCACGTAATGAATGAAAATATGTGGTATCTGTCTTTCTCTGCCTGACTTATTTCACTTAGCATAATACCCTCACATTCCATCCATGTTGCTGCAAATGGCCAGATTTCATTCTTTCTTATTAATGCATTTACATTTAAAGTAATTACTGATATGAGAGGATTTGCTATTTCCATTTTGTTCTTTGTTTTCTGTTGTTTCGCTCCTGTTTTGTACCTCTCTTGCTCTTTTTTTCTTCTTTGCTATTCAATGATTTTTTTGTAGTGATTTGCTTTTATTTTTTCCTCCTTTTTTGTATTTATTAATTTTAATTGCATACAAAAATTTTATGCTTTTACTCTCCTCTCCCTACATTTTGCGTTCTTATAAGCAGAGTGCTTCTTTTTCTATCGTGTACTCATTAAAAACAGGTAATCCTGGGGGCTCCTGGGTGGCTCAGTCAGTTAAGCATCTGACTTCTGCTCAGGTCATGATCTCACAGTCAGTGAGTGAGTTTGAGCCCCATGTTGGGCTCTATGCTGACAGGCCAGAGCCTGGAGCCTGCTTCGGAGTCTGTGTCTCCTCACTCTCTGGCCCTCCCCCACTCACGATCTGTTTCTCTCAAAAATAAATAAACATTAAAACATTTTTTTTTAAAGCAGGTAATTCTGTCAGCTGAGGTCAGCATTGGGGAAGATTGTAAGCATCCTCGGCACCAAAAGTGCAGGTGCGTGTGGCAGTAGCAAGGTGTGCTGTAGCAAGGTGTGCTGTAGCAAGGTGTGCTGTAGTCCTTGATGGCAAGGGCTGCTACCCTTTTCTCTTTTTACCTCACAGGGAAGACATGGCCAACAAGATCCCTCTCGGTGTGGGATGCAGGCACCAAGCACTGGGCAGGGGGGTGCTGTGGCTCCAGTCCCAAGGAGGGTGTCCCAGCGGCTCCTTAGCAAAGGAGGCACAGCAGCATTTACCCCAGGCAGCTCTGTCAGCTGGAGTCAGTGTTGGCAAAGACTGTAGACCCCCTCAGTGGCAAAAACTGCAGAGGTAAGGGCTGCGGGGGTCCTCTTTCCCTCCTTTCCCCCATGGTGAGAGGTCATGGCCAACGCGGACCCCCCTTGGTGTGGTGCAGTGCCAGACTGAGGGATGGAACGACACACATAAAATGCTTATGTTTTCCTATGGGGCCATCTTCGGTTTTGTGCTTCCCTGGGTTGCTGCAGCTTCTTCGTTGTACTCCAAAGCTCTCCCGGAGCTATTTTCATCAGTGGGCAGTTGTTCATTTGTTGTTTTCGAGGAGAGATGAAAACTGGGGCCCCTAGCCCTCCATCTTGTTGATGTCACTTGCTTTAAGTTTAAAACATAAACGTTGCCTGAGGTGGTCATCAAGCCAATGATGTAAATAATGACATTATTTGGTCAATCGTACTATATCTCTAACTGTATTTCCAAATCTCCACTTAGATCCCGGTCCTCTTCCCAAAACTCCAGGCTATTCCCACACCTACTCAGCCTCCTTAAAATCAATTTGGCAAAAACAGAAGTCATGACCTTCTTTCTTAAGCCTGCTGCTCTTCCAGAATTCCAATGTTTACTAAACAGCTTTCTCGTCTACCCAACTGAGCATGCCAGAGGTCACTCTTGACTTCTCCCACTCTTTAATGCCCCAAAATGTCAAGTCTCATCTATTTTATCTCCTAGATATCTCTTGAACCCATATCTGCTGCCACTGCCCTCCTCCGGGCCTCCTTTACCTCTCATTCAGACCACAGAAACACCCTCCTAATTTGCTACATGTCCCCACTCTCTTTAAGTCATTCGTTCCACGGCAGCTTAAGTAGTCATTACAAAATTCATCTGGTTGTGTTCCTTTCTTGACTATTAGGGTGACGTTCCAAATCCTTAATGGCTTATAGGAAACCCCATGGCCTACCCCTGTCTACTCCATTGTCAGCCTTTATTGCTGCTAGACTCCTAGCTCTCTGCACTCCAGCCATGCTGTGTCTCTTTCAGTTTCTCAAACATTCATGTCACTCCCTACCTCTGGGCCTTTGCACAAGCTGTTCCTCTGCCTCCCGCTCTCCTCTTTCCATTCAGCTAACTTCAGTTCATCCTTCTAGGTTTAGCTTAAAAGACACTTTCTCAGGGAAGCTTCCTTGACTTTCTAGAATAGGTTATGTTAGTCTGCCATGTGCCACACAGCATTCTGTACTTTTTTCCGTGGTTGAGTTTATTCATAATTATTTTTTATTTTTAATTATTAATTTGTTTTTTAATTTTAGAGAGACAGACCATGAACTGGGCGGAGGAGCAGATAGAGATAGAGAATCCTAAGTAGGCTCCATTTCGATGCAAAGCCCCATGTGGGGCTTAATCCCATGACCTGGGGATCATGACCTGAACTGAAATCAAGAGTCAGATATCATTATTTTTTTTTAATTTTATTATTTTTTAGAATACAGTTTATTGTCAAATTGGTTTCCATATAACACCCAGTGCTCATCCCCACAAGTGCCCTCCTCCATGCCCATCACCCACTTTCCCCTCTCCCCCATCAGCCCTGTTTGTTCTCAGTATTTAAGAGTCATAATTATTTCTTTGATGTGTGTCTTCACTGCCAGAATGCATGTTCCATGAAGACATTAATATGTTCACACCCCTTATAGCTGCGTACCTGGTGCCTTGCTAATGCCCAGCACCTAGTCAAGTCTCAATAAATAGTTGCGGACTGGGTGATTGAAACAGATCTTCTAGTTAAGGTTTCAGTTCCTGTGTGCAGCAATAACCTAAGCACCCCAGAGTCCACTATATCTGTGCTTTCCTGAAGCCCTTTGACCTTCATTTTTCATTTTACACATCTTTTTATGTATGTACTGTACACTTTCCTCTTCCCCTTTTTTCCTCTTCCCAGTGATGTGTCACAAATTGATGCATTTTTATTGGGTGAGGCCCAGGTAATCTCCCTGTTTATAACTCTGGCCTTTCTGTGAGCAAACACACAAAGTGAACTTTGGTTTATCTCCTGCCATAATGTAGCTGCTAATTGCTGGCAGGCAAGCTGTATCCCATGGTCCACGTGACCAGTGAGGCATGATCAGAAAGGAGCGTGGGGAAGAGTGGCCTGAGGGACCCAGCCAGAGGCTGTCTAGCTGCGGTCCCTGCCTCCCCAAAAGTGCAGAGTAAACCAAGCAAGCACCGGGAGTATGGTTCTGAGGTAAGCAAGGTCATGAAGATGACACTGTTGGGCTTAGTTTTGTGGTCCCTGCTCCTCCATCCAGGGCTGACGTTCTGGGCCTCCCAGATCAGTCAGAACTGCAACAACGGCAGCTATGAGATCACCGTCCTGATGATGAACAACTCGGCCTTCCCAGAGACCTTGGAGAACTTGAAAGAAGCGGTGAATGAGGGAGTGCAAATAGTGAAACAGCGTCTGCTCAATGCTGGTAAGAATATGGCCACAGAATCCACCTCCTCCATGTTACCCCTCTGGGGTCAAAGGATTGCTTGCACTCTTTGCCTAATCATCCACTCTCCTCTACGGGCTTGTCCAACAACCTCTTTCTATTTCAAGGCAGTAGGTCCTCGGAGAGAAGGAGTTAAGTCCTACTGCATGTGTTCGGTCATTATTCACCCTGCTCTTGAAATGGCCCCAGTCCAGAGAACACCAGGGGTTCACAGCAGTGAAGTGCCCCAGACACAACTGAACTGATGGCTCGGTGTCAAGGAGGCATCATGTTCCTTTCTGTAACTGTTCAGAGGCAATATTTGATCTGGAGCCGAGAGTTCACAGGGTTACCAGTCAAGAAGATGAATTAAGAGAGTTAAATTCAGACAGACGCTGCATCTATTTCAGGGATCTTGCATCCATCTGTTCACTCTTTACATCTCTGCTGGCTATTACTGTAAGATACAGTCAACTAAACTGCAACCAAATTCAGTGTTGCAGTTCTTCACTGTATCTGTCAATTATTAAACTAAGCTTTATAGCATTAGATAAAATATGTAGAATAAAGAGAAAAAATATCAACCCTGATCATTTTCAGCCACCTGGATATTTCCAGTGTCTTTTCATATGCTCTCAGTTTCTTGTTTTTAAGAACATGATTGGGATCACTATGGCATAGAAGCAATTTTCTAGGGGTGCCTGGGTGCCTAAGTCACTTAGGCTTCCAACTCTTGGTTTCAGCTCAGGTCATGATCTCACAGTTCATTCCCACCTCAGGCTCGATGCTGGGAGCCTGCTTGGGATTCTCTCTCTGCCTCTCTCGGCTCCTCCCCTGCTCATGCTCTCCCTAAAGAAAGAAAGAAAGAGGGGCGCGTGGGTGGCTCAGTCAGTTGAGCGTCTGACTTGGGCTCAGGTCATGATCTCATGGTTCATGGGTTCGAGCCCCCACGTCAGGCTCTGTGCTGACAGCTAGCTCAGAGCCTGAAGCCTGCCTCAGATTCTGTGTCTCCCTCTCTCTCTCTGACCCTCCCCTGCTCACACTGCCTCTCTCTCTCTCTCTCTCTCTTTCAGAAATAAATAAAACATTAAAAAAAATTTTTAAAGAAAGAAAAAAACTTTAAAAAAAGATAAACCAAACTTAAAAAATTTATTAAAAAAAGAAACAATTTTCTATGCTAATTTTACTTCACATTATTCTGCAAATGACTTTCCTAAAACTGCAGAATCTTCATGTGATGCAAGTGCATACATACTATTCTTTGGATCGCTGCTCAGCCTTTTGGCTAAGATCAAGTATACTATTCTTTGGAATAGATACCCTTTCAAACCATCCAATTATTCCCTACTGTTTGATTTCCTATTATTTTTAATTTCTCATGATTATTTTAAAATGCCACAGTAAACATTTTCATATATGTAGTTTTCTTCCACTCTTTGAGACTAGATTGCCAAAAGTATAATTACTGAGTCAATGACTATTTCCTATGTCTTAATGTTTACCTAGGGTTCTAAAGAGTGTATGTCTTGATTTTCCTGATGTAAAATTCTGGGCTAATTAGCTCTTTTCTAGTGCCCAAATTCCACAGACTCATTAGGCTCATGCTTTCCTCACCATGTGGCTAACACAAAGTATACATATATTTCGTACCTCTGCACAAAATATAAGGCTGCACACTGTGTATGGAAGTTATTTAAGCCTCACGCTGCATATTTCTCTTCCTAGACTGGACGTGTGTGTTCTAAGTTGTCACAAATAAAATTCATATGACCATTAAAAATACAGTAAAATTCCGTGGTAATAATAGCAAGAGATATCATACATCACATATCTGTGATACCTTTTTGCTGTGCCGTATATATGTCTTCAACCTTGTCTGAGACCAGTTTAGATGTAAATAGATGGATCTGATCTAGTGCTGTAATGGAACTAGGAGGATTTAATAAATCCCTTTATTTACCAAGACTGTGGCATCATGGAAGGAAAATTTGATTTGCGATCTGGGAACGTGGATTGGAGTGCCTGCCCCAGAGCTTTCTCGTTCTGTGACCCTGGGTGAGCTATGTCCCTTAGTCTCTCTGAGACTTGGCTTCCTTGTTTTATTGAGTACCCGTCATGTCGTAGGTAAGATATGTAGTGTCCTTAGTCACCACAGCTCTGTAAGATCAGCATTATTGACACAGTTTCACAGTGGAAGTTTAATAACTTTGCTGAAGTTATACAGGCTGTCTATTTGACATGAGATTCCAATCCGGATCTGTCTGGTTCCAAAGAGTGTATCATACTGCCACTGTATAATCGTTACCCACCACGAACTAACTTTCTCAGTAAAATAAGACAGTGGAACACTATGGTGAGAAGCAGAGATTTGGAATCAGACAGCTCTTTGTTCATATTCCAGCTTTGTATCCAGCCATTTATCATCAGTGACCTGGAGTAAATTACTTAAGTTTTCTGAGCCTCAATCCCCTTACCTATAAAACCACAATAGATAGTAGGTACCTCATGTGGATACGGTGTTAATTAAATGAGGAAATTCATATAAAGTATGCAATACACAGACTGAAACATAATTGAGAATTCAGTAAGTAACAGTTGTTTTATTGTCGTCCCTGTTGTTGAGGATTTTAATGTTGTGTGACTACTGTGCTGTTGCCACTGTTACCGAACAAGTAACCAGGATATAAAATAAACAGTGTAGTATAGTGGTAAGGTCTTGATCTCTGGACTCATATAACCTGAATTTGAATTCCTGATCCATCTATCACTAGTTTAATTATAAACACTTTATCAAGTGAGTTATTTATTCTAAGCTCTACTCATCTCATGTATAAAATGGAGTCATGGAGTGCCTTGGTGGCTCAGTTGGTTAAGCATCCAACTCTTGATTTTGTTTCAGCTCATGATCCCAGGGTTGTGGGATCAAGTCCTGCATCTGGTTCTGCACTGAACGTGCAGCCTGTTTAACATTATCTCTCCCTCCCTCTCTCTCTCTGTCCCCACTTGTGTGCACTCTCTCTCTCTAAAATAAAAACCACACATACTATATATAATAGAGTCATGAATGAATGGTGAGGCATTTGAATAGATTAAATGAGTGGAGAGTTTTGAGGGAGATGGAATAAATCAACAGTGATTCCCAGATTTTTGTATTTGATGATGCATTTTGTTAGATGCATCCCATTCATGGGAAACTCAAGAGGTATAGGTTGTGTTGATAGGTTCATGTTCTAAACATACTGAGCATTATTATTTGCAGGTATACTGACAATACACTTAAGGGCTAAATTGAAGAAAATTAAGAGTTCAAATGTTGTGGGTGATATCCAAATGGAAGAAAACAATATTTTCCCCTAGTACTTAGGAAACCTCTGTGAGTTTTGAAGAATACATGGGATGTGGTAGACAACATGAAAAAAGAGACTCCTTCCACCTTAGGACATCACCTTCTCAAGGATGTGTGTTTTGTGGCAAAGCACACCCAGTTGATACCCTCCAAATGATCTCATTTGGAGGGCCCTTTTCGGAGGCTCCAGCACCTATATTCAGATTTGCTTTGGTCCAACTTCTTCTCCAAAGCCCTAGATAGGAGAGAACAGGTTCTGAGATTATACACTTTGGCATTCTATTCGTCTTCCCGGGACTGAGCTATCATGCTGGGTGGAGGCGCAGGCAGGATAAAGATGAGAAGAGATCTTCATCTTCCTCTACCAAACTAAAAAACAAAAGCAAACACAGTTTTCACATAACCATAAAATGTTGAGAGGCAGCAGCATACTGTACAGTATGTTCTACACAAGTGGCTCTCAAACTCTTTGATCTCAAGACCTCTTTACGCTCTTAAAACTAATGGTGGGCTCTGTAGAGTTTTATTTACATGGTTATATGTATCAACATTTACTATATTGGAAATTAAGACTTAGAAATGTTTTAGATAGTTGTTTATTGATTCATTTAAAATAATTATGCATGCTTATAAACACTTTATCTCTTTATCTGTTAACATAGATAAAATTTCTTATTAAAGAAAATCTGTATTTCTCAAATCAAAAAATAAAAATAGGTGGGCAAAATGGTATTGATTTATAGTTTTGTACATCTTTAGTGTCAGGCTTAATAAAAAATGGCTGGATTCTCATATCTGTTCTGCATTTAATCTGTTGCAATAATACATATCATGTATTAAACTCTACTATATGCTCATAAGAGAAGAGTGGAAAAAACAAAGAATGGCTTAATATACTTATGAGAATAGCTTTGGCCTCCTGGCCCTTCTAAAGGAGTCTCAAGTTATCTCTGGAGTCTATAGTCTGCACTTTGCAAACTGCTATTCTGCAGCATATCAGATTCTGGAATCAGACTGTCCTCGGTTCAAAACCCCAGCTGTGGAACCCTAAGCAAGTTAATCTACCTCTCTAGACCTCCGCTTCCTCATTTTTATATTAGGGAGATAAAATACCAATTAGCCTCGTAGGATTCAGGGGGGGATTAAGGATTGAAATAAAGCATGCCGAGAAACGTAGCCTACTGCTAGGCATGTGGTGACAGAGATCATCCAGTTCTGTTCTACCAATAAATGGCTGAGGAACTGGGGCCCCATAGATGAAGCCACTTGCCTGAGATCACACTCAATAGATGTGGATTTCCCCTCTCCTACGTCCGGTGCCGGATTTATCCCTGGGCTTTGCTGTGCCCATCCATCACGAGCTGCCTGGACAGTAGGATTTTTAAGTGAGTCATCTCCAGTGCTCCTCATGGTGGCAAGAGGGAGCAGAGCCCTTACAGAGATTGAGGAGCAGGAGCTAACTTTTACATTAACCGCTGCGGGTGTGGTCATCTACCTAAAGGCCTGTTTTCATCATGTGACTGTGTACTGGGTTGCACTTGACTCCCTGAGTCCTCTTGCTGCTTTCTAAAACAGTCTCAAGCCCTCTTTTCTCCTGGTCCCCATGTCCTTTTTTTCTGGGTCCCCCACAGCCTCATTCATACTATTTTCCTAGTTTCATTTACCCTATATTCTCCCAATTGCTATAAGAATTAAATAACAAAAAGGGTGTAAAGTTTTCAGTGTTGATGGCTGGCATATGGCTACACTCACGTGTTAATTGCTGCTAAATCCATCACTGGTCCTGCCTCTTCTATTAATTTTCTTTGGTCTTATTACATTGACCTCTCCTATTTGTCCAGACCTATTGGCAACTCTTACGTAGATCTCCTACTGAACAAAGTCTCAGAATACATGTTCTTGAATTAACCCTCCCCCCACCCAGAAAAGAAGGCAAGAAGTAAAATGCTTCCTAGTCTTAGATACACCTCCGAGGTGGCTTTAGACATGCAAAGATTCTTTCATTCTTTGAAAGAACAGGTCTCCGTCTTTAAAAACATTCTTATTGCCTGGGTGGCTCGGCTGGTTAAGCATCAAGCTCTTAATTTTGGCTCAGGTCATGATCTCTCCAACTGAGCCTCATATCGGGCTCCATGCTGAGTGTGGAGCTTGCTTGGGATTCTCTCTCCCTCTCTCTCTGCCCCTCCCCCATTTGTTCTCTCTCTCTCTCTCTCTCTCTCTCTCCCCCCTTCTTTCTCAAAATAAACATTAAAAAAAAACCCATTCTTATGTTCAGAAGAACAATAACTTCTGTTGTTGACATGCTTTACTCTTTTAAAGGTATTAACAGTATTACATTTCATAGTTCTGGTTTTAATCCCATTTTACATTTGCGGGAACTAAATTAGAGAAATTCCACTGGCTGGCGCAAGAACACATAGAAAGAAAGTCACTCGCTGCAGCCAGCAGTATAACTAGCCACTGAGGTCTCCGGGCTTCCTGTGTAGAGGCTTGGCAAGATTAGGATGCCTCTGCTTAGGAATCAAACATTTCTCCTGAATATTTTTTATTGGAAGGAGACAAAATGTAAGAGACAGAGCTTGGTTGAATGGTTCAGCTGTCTTTTTATTCCCTTCCAAAATATGGTATCTAGTAATACCGAGGGATATTACCATCAATGCTCTTTATCCGAAGATGATCTATTATCCCAAGATCCTAGACCATGATGGATGCAGGTCACTTTGGCTTTGGGGACACAGCACAGAGGTTCCAGTGTGCACACTGGCAGCACACAGAACCAGCACCTCGGGGTCATGAAAGAACAAATACTGTAATGTCTGTATTTTTGTTTTCCTAACAGTCTCCAGAGCTGTATAGGAAACTCGCTGAGTCTATAGTTGTGAAAAGAGGAGAGCCGTGAACATAATGAAAATGTTGTAATACTGGATTGTGGGATGGTTGCCCAAATACATATTTACTAAAAATCATTCAACTGTACAGTTAAAGTGGGTGACATTTATGGAGGGTAAATTATACCTCAATAAAGCTGTTGAGAGAGAGAGAGAGACAGAGAGACAGAAATAAAAGACAGAGACAGAGAGAGGAAAGAAGTGACAGGGAGTAATGTAAGAACTCAGAACTCAAATATTCCTAGGCCTGAAGATGCATTCCATTTTTTCCCGGGATCATCTGACAAAAGGTAAATCTCATGGCTATAAACTACTAAAAAATGACATGTTTTCTCTTTTCCCTCATTTCTGGATAACAGGCATAAATGTGACTGTGATCGCTACCTTTATCTCTTCGGAGAGTGTGATTTACAAGTCAAATGACTGCCGGAGTAGTACCTGTGAAGGCCTTGACCTACTCAGGGAAATTTCCGTAAGTAAATGCTTTTGGAGGTGTAGCTCACGCTTCTTGGTACAGGAAGGTCACAGTATGAGACTTGAGCACCTGTCTATGAGCATTTTTTATGTCCTTTCTAGTCACATAGCTGAGGGTTTTGGAGACAGGGTAATCTGACTTTATCCCCATATATTTCCCAAAGTGATGAGGGCCCTCTGGGAACACAGAGAAGCAGGGAGAATCTTCTATGTTCTCTCTATCTATTTTCAGTGTCATGGAGGACAATTATTTTGTTTTAAATTGTTTTCAAAACCTTTTAAAAATTTAAATGTTGGCATTAATTGGTTTTCTTCTGGATCCCTCAGGAAATACCTGAGGAATTCCAAAGCCCTGCACCAGAGATCTCTGTTTCAAGTGGTCACCATAGATGCAGTCACAGGTTAATTGCTTAAGAGCTGAATCTGAAACCTAATTTTAAAGTAGTAACTGTAACATTAAAGGGTAGAAACGGGAGGGGAGAGATTCTTGCCTACTCCCTCCTCCCAACTCCCCACCTCAGCCAGGGCTCTATGGGGCAAAAGAATGTTTCTAAGCTCTCCAGAAACGGGTACGTGGATGAAAAGCTTTTTTACTACGGAAAGCCAAGGAGAGGTTCTCCTAGAAGCAGAGCACTGGGCGTAGAACGATGATTCCAAAGCTTTAATCAATGGCATCACACCTACCAGACAGGCAGACTCATGGGGGGAAGAGTGGTTGATTACAGCAGTCAGTCTCGATCTTGGGAGGGCCTGGAGTGAGCAAGGGGGAGTTTAACAAACTCCACTTTATGATGCTACAAGTGTGTATCTCTTCCTCTTGAGATGGAGGTATACGCGGTTTTCCAAAACCAGGGATGGGATGTTCCTAATCACGTTCCTCTTGATAAATAGTACAAGACACAGTCTGTAGTCACTCAACTGGTCACACTGCAGTTTGTTCTCTTTAGCCCTGTTTCATGGCTCTCCCCAAAACTGCAACTAGCCCTCCTCTCCCAAAGCACCTCCAAATCTAGTCTCTCCTCAGTCTGGCCCACAGGTACGTCTCATGGTGCAGTCTGTCAGTCCTTCTTGCCCCACCCTGCATCCTCCTCTTGACAAGGAATCCAAGTTCACCTTCAGCCTTTTTGACTTCAGCAGAATACCCTTCCTTCCACCTGCAGCATCTTCCCTTTCTCAGATTTCTTTAGCCCTCAGTGCCCCTTGCCCAGCCCAAGACACCACGAGTTGCTCCTGTCTTGAGAGGCCCACTCTCTGACCTTCTGGAGGCCTTCTTTCTTGCCACTTCTTTCCTGTCTGCTTATTCATTGTTGTTACTTTCAAGATTCACTTTTCTTTTCTTTTCTTCCCCCTACAGAAGAACAAACGGATGGGCTGTGTCCTCATGGGGCCCTCGTGCACATATTCCACCTTCCAGATGTAGTAAGTAGTTTGGTTTGTTGTTTTCATGCCACCGTAAGTTGAAGTCAGGATATGGTATCACTGTTTAAATGATTTCTCAAACAGCAGTCGAGTCAAGGCAACACAATCAGAGATGTCGGAACCCTCGTAGTTTGCTTCTTCTCTGTAAGTGTCATTCCCTTGTCCACGTAGCTCTACCTTTGCTTACCACGAGGTGAATGACAGTCGCTATTCAGGTCCAGTTACTAACATCTGAGCCTGAGAGGCAACATGGTATAGGTACAAAGAGTCTTGGCAGGGAACCGAGAAGACAATGAACCAGGATAATTTGAGGAGTGAATGGAGGACATGTGAGCAGAGGAAACACACAGGAAGGTACAACACCCTGGGCATTGGCAAGCCTCCGTTCTAACCTTAGGTCCTCGGAATAAGGAAAGTAGAAGGGTGCTCATTTCACAGCACTGAGGATTATATAACTAACATAGTAACGTATCTTGCATGGTGCCCCTTTCAGCTTAGAAAAAAAAAATGCTTCCGATATATCCTACAATAAAAATCTTTCTCTGCCTTTGGGAAAATCACCCTGTCCCTCCACTCATTTCACTCAGTGTAATTCTCATCACCATGAAACATTTTGTTCTTCCAGATCGCACTTTCCGTAAATGGAAAGTCCTCTTCTATGCCTTTCTTTCATCTGTTCAGTCTTCCCCTGAATCAAGGATCACCTTTGTCTACACAGAGAAAACTACGCGAAAAGACCCTATGCAATAGATTTTAGAAGGTCAAATTAAATTTCTGAAATCTCTGCCACAAAGTCTGCTTCTGACACCTCCTCCCAGCTATACGAACACTCTGAGATGTTCAGGCCCGCTGCATGCCATGGATATACCACGGAAGCACTTTCTCAGCTCATCTTCCATAGCAAGACACAGGCAAATAGACTCTCCTCCTTACACTTATTCCCAATTGTCGTCTTATCTGACCACGTGTTGCTTTGCTGTAGAATGTGCTCAGAAGGAAAGGAGGAGTAGGAAAATTGATTGACTATTTATGAGGACCTTTTGTGTGCAAAGAAGCACTTTGGCTTCATCAGGGTAGAGAAAATTAAGTAAAACGCAGCCGCTGCCCAGTGAAATGGAGAAGACAAGAGCACCGGTAACCAGTATAGGGCAGAATACAATGAGCTCAACTGAAGAAACACAAAGAAGCTGTAGGGTGCACGGAAGGAACGACTCCTCTCTGGTTGGAAGAGTTAAGCTCAGGACAGGAAGGATTTCTTGGAGGAGATGGTCTACGAATGAGTGTTGAAGAATAGATGAGATTTTAATGAATAGAGATGAGGAGGTAAGCATCCCAGCCAGGTGGAGGGTAAGCATGTGTACAAGCAAAGAAGCAGAGAAGTGTAGAGATTTTGTGAGAGTTGGTATCAACCGGAGTGCAAGAGACAAGCAGCGGAATAATAGAGATAAAACTAGAAAAGTTAAGTAGAGCTGTATTGGGGAGGTCATGAGTTCCAGGCGAGGAGAGCATATTTAATTAGATTTGCATCAGAAACAACTTAGATGGTGCAAGGAAGTGCCATAGGAAGCAGTTCAACTTTGGGAAGAGTAAGTGTCGACCGTGTATAGGAAAGACTGGAGCGCGCAGGAGACACTGATGGGGAAAGTCATCAGGGAAGAGGAGGGCTGAAGTAGCATGCAAGCAGTTGACCTGGAAAGGAAGGAGAGCCTTTAAAGGTACTTAAGGGCAGAATAACCGCTAACCGATTTGATAACTGATTGAATGTCAGAGTGAGGGATGGAGAGTAGTCAAGAAGCCCTGAAAGAAATGGAGAAATGAGGACATAGGGAAAAGTAAGTCAAAAAACACTAAAATAAATAAGGCATGGTTTCGAGAAATGAAAAGACAAATTTGACTGTGAACATAGGGAGTTTAAGTGCAAGCAGGACACCTTGTGCTCAAGATGGAAGGGAGGTATTGCTTTCCTTCCTTTATGAAGTACACATCGAGGGCACACATATGATCCAGGCAGACGGGAGATACGGAGATGAGTAAGCCAGACACTGTGCCTTCATGGTGCTTGCAGTCTAGTAGAGGAGGCAGATAGTAAACACATACTGACCCCAAAATTACCTGGTTTCGGGTATCAGTGAAAAGTTTTTCTGATGGCTGATGGGATCTTTCATCCAGGACCCGATGCATGAGTCAGCCAGGCAAAGAGCCAAGGGCAACAGCATTTCTGGCATATGTCAAGGCCCTGATGATGGATGGTGTTGATATGTTTAAAGAACCACAAGATTTTTGTGCTCAACAGGGAAGGAAAATTGTAGAATCCTCAGGTGATGTGTGTCTCAAAAGTAGGCTTTAGAAGAGCCAGAAGTAAGGCAATACATGGAAGGAAAGGTACAGAAGGCATCTTTGGGGCTTTACAATATCCGTAGTAGTCATGGTGGCCCACCCTCTGTTTTCTTGGCCCTACTCTCCGAAGGCCATATGTGCCAGCCTCAGTGTTATGGCAACCCAAATGAACATTCCTTTTAGAATAAATGGAATGAACCAAGCCACATTATACATGAAAGCACCCAGAGTATCTTAAAACATAACATATGCTGGATAAATGTTTTAAAATTCACCTGTGTGGGTGGGACACCTATTTAAGCTAGAAACCTGCTTGAGTGACCCTATTTCATTCTTACCATTTATAACCAACCACATGCTGAAGCAGTTAAAGAGGGGTTGTATTTGTGCTACTGAAGTAACCCTGATGTCTGTTTCTTTCTCACCTCTTGGCATAGCCTTGACACAGATTTGAACTATCCCATGATTTCAGCGGGGAGTTTTGGATTATCATGTGACTATAAAGAGACTTTAACCAGGATGATGTCTCCAGCTCGGAAGCTGATGTACTTCTTGGTTAACTTTTGGAACGCCAACCATTTGCCATTCAAAGATTTTTCCTGGAACACTGCATATGTTTTCAAAAATGGCACCGAGACCGAGGACTGTTTCTGGTGAGCAGGACCATTAATATGCTGTGGTTCTTGGCATAGAGAGGAGACAGAATCCTGGCAGGCCACCTGGCTCCATCTGTAACAGCACTGGGAATGGACACCAGGCTACTTTCTAACACACAAATAAAAGCCAAAGGGCCAAAGGAAACATGGTACAAATACAATCAACATGTATTACGTTTGCAACACTCTAGCTTTCAAAGTACTTTCACATTACTTTTATTGATCTCCTACAGTAAATCCTCTAAAGAAGGGAGAACAAGTACAAGTTCCATTTTACAGATAAGGACAATGAAAAACAATGGTTATTGCTTTCACATTACTGTGAAAGATACGATACCAGAGAATATGCATTCTGCCAACACCTACAACTAGTTAGAAATAATTTGTCTCACGATGGCTCGGAGGAATAAGTGGAGCAAGAGGAGAACGGGGCATCAGGCACCATTGCTAAAATAAAATCACAAGGTTCACACAAGTCCAGCAAAGATGGCAGAAAGAATCTTTTGGTTGGATTACTGTCTATACCACCAGGATGCTGCTTGGTTCTGCAGTCTCCCTCCACCTAAGTATGCAGACGACTAAAGGTACCACTGGGAACGCACATCTAGGGACCTAAAGAATCAACCTTAAGGCCTCATCCTAGAAATTTTGAGGTGAACTTAGAACCCACAAAAGTCCATTTCATTGGAAAGATAAAAGATTCCTATCAGCTCTGAATTTTTGCACTGTCGACTCAAAGGTTTCAACTTCTCTGTGATAATGGGGTTTATAGAACAGAGTAGCCTTCCTTCTGCAGATAGTAAGAAGCTATTATAAGGGGCCTCAAAGGCCTCCTATTTGGTTATATACATGAAGACCCCCTAAAACTTCTCCTTAAAACTAGATCCCACAATCCAAACCATTGATATCATGATGCGTACCATCTGTTGTGTTGACAGTGGAAATGAAGTTTAGATGAAGAAGTCCCAGAACAGATCTGTAAACAATGAGCAAAACAACAGGGAAGGTCATGAAGAAACTAAACTGGCTTCTTAGAGTGTCTCTCTTTTTTCTCTTCTAGGTACATCAATGCTCTGGAGGCTGGGGTTTCCTATTTTTCTCAGGAACTTAACTTCAAGGATATTTTGAGGGGAGATGACCAGTTTCAGGATATCTTAATGAACCAAAACAGGAAAAGCAATGGTAAGGGGACATGGAGATAATTTTTTTGCCAACTTCTTCCTCACAACTACCACATCTGTAAGAGACATTTTGACAAATCTGCCGTCACAGAGTTCTCATCATTACCTCGATATATTTTGTTTATTTAGGGAGATCAGTAGTTCGGTGCCGATTAAAACCTTATCCTATGAGAGAAAGGAGAAAGGTAGTGTTGAACAAATACATTAACATCATGAAACTAATGATGCTGCTGAAGTCTAGCCTTTATAAACCAAAATGATATCATGACCCACCATCAATAAACTGCTTTTTAAGTTCACCTCAATCTAAGCTATTGTTGGATTTATGACTAATCCTCACAGATTCTGAACTCGGGTCCCCTGATGACCAAGAGGGTATGTTTACTGATTATCTGACCTCAAGCAAAATTACAAGGTTAGCGTATCATCTCATTTTCCTCTAGTGTATCCCACATGCCTAGTGATCTCCCATTTACAAGTCAAATGTGGGATAAAGTTATCCTCACTAAGCTGTGAGGTGCTTTGTTTCACCTTCCAAGAATTCTCTTTACAAATAAGAATATATCAGAAACAAAAGAAACGATTGTGGACATTTCCTATGAGAGAACGTGCTTGCTTGGTAAGAATTCCTAGTATCACTCAGATCATCATCTACTGTCATTATTAAGCACTTGCCATAATCAGAACCTTCCATGTGCAAATCATTGGCAAGGTGTGGGGGAGAAGGAAGTGTAGATGTCCCTAAAAAGAAATATTTATGTTCCTAAGGAGCTTATTGGACAACGTAGTGTATAAAAAGATCTAATGAAGTGTACCCCAACTCCTCTTTGTCATCGAGTCATCCGTTTGGGAAGTCTGGCCCCAACGAGTAGGAGAGCTCACAGAACCAATTAGATCCTGCCACTGAAATCACTAAGGCTGAGTTCTGAGTTAAGAAGCTACAAGCAAAGCTCAAGGAAAGTTGCTTAGGAACATGACATAAATTCTCACATTAATTTTATTATAACTTTTCAACCACTTTACAATTGGTGAGGTGCACTTAACAATGAAAATAATTTATGTAACTCCGCCAACCTGGTATAATGGAATAAACACTGAGCTGGATTCGTAAACTTGAATATGGGAGCTCTGCTATGCCATCTACTAGTTCTTTAGCCTTTTGACACCTTGTCCTTCAGGCTCTTTAAATCAATAAAATTAAGGGAATGGACTAGAGGATTCTTTTTAAGATTCCATGCAGCTCTACTCAGACTCTATGACTATAAGTGGAAAAAAGCAAGGGAGAGAGTAATTGAGGGATTGGTGTTAATCTTAAAACATAACTGTAGCACGGACATGCTGGGTTCAGATTCAGGTACCTGGTTCCCATGTGTTTGTATGTAGACCATTGTGTTTTTCTCTCCTTGTCTTACTCTCTCTTCTCCAGTGATTGTTGTGTGTGGTAAACCAGACACAATCAACTCCCTCAAAGGTGACCGGGCAGTGGCTGAAGATATTGTGATTATTCTAGTGGATCTATTCAAGTAGGTATAATATTTGAAAGAATTGTCTTTACAGAATGGAAATACTCCCAGGATTTCCAGAAGAGACATTCTCTTTTCTCTTGTTTTGCACAGCCTTTCATGGGATTTGGTATGATCAAGTTTCATTCTTTCATCACAACCTCATTTTTGTTTAATTAATTTTAATTTTATAGCCTTTGCAGATATGCATATCTTTGACATCACTACCATGTCTAAATACGGAAGTTTCGAGGCCCGTTAAATCTACATGTCCATTCATCTAAAAGGATCTTGGTCCCCAGCCTGATTTTAAGGTCTTTCCAGGCAGTGATAAATCACTAATAACCCAATCCAGTAGCATTATTTTGAGGAATGTGGGCCATATCTGTGCTATCTTTTGCTAATGGCCTTTGGTCCTAGATGATTTTTCCTTTGCCACCTTTGGTAAGAGGAAAGTTCCAGTTAAATGACTGCTTCTCTGCCCTGTGTGGTTTAGTCATGGGTGGTGATTTTATTCTCTGTAATTCTCTGGTAAAAAGGAGAGAAAATTCTGGAGGTTAGAGACTTTCTTTCCCAATTTTTATTTTTTAAAATTCAAATATCATTAATATACAGTGTTATATTTTACCACTCATCTTCTAATATGGTTGGAGACCCTACAAAGCTTACCAAGGTAGTATCTGAGTCAGATTAAACTTCTAGAAGTTGTCACCAGTGCACCCGTGCCCCTTGCCCCATCAGCTAGATCATATGGCCTCACTTATCTGACTGAACCATTAATCATTACCCGTCTGTACTCAGCCTAGACACTGTTACTGCACTACATATTTTCCATATTTGGCTAGTCACTTCATCCACATGAAATGTGCGTGTCACAGTGTTAAGAGGAATGAGACAGGGACTGCAGGTCTGTTTGACAACTATTTGTTTGGGAAGGTAATCTTATCAAGCAACTTAGCTTTTTAGTGGCAAAATACAGGGAAGAGGACAAAGTTATTAACATTTCATTCCTATGAATTGTATGAAATTCACATTGACAGCTGCTCTCAATAGTTGCTTTGCCCTCCGGAAGGAGTCCTCAATGTAGCCCGGTTGGTGTAATTTTACTTTTAGCAAATCCTCAACCTGGTGCAAAAGTGTTGGCATTTCTTTGTCACTGGTCTTGAAGGACACTTGGCTATGTTTTCGGAAGATTATGAGCTTCATTTGAAAGTAGACCTAACTTGGTTTCAAATTCTAATTCTGACACTTCTGGTTCATTTGACTCTTGGGTATCAGCTGCAATCTTGAGATTAAATGTTCCCATTTGTAAAATGAGAATAAAGGTACTCGCTTCATAGGAGAGCTCTTAAGATTAGATGTGATAATATGAGGAAAATATTCTAGACCTCAGTGCATAGATGGGTTCACCTACTGATTGAGTGGTGAATGATGGTTATCTTAGTTATTGCAGCTCCAAGTTAGATTCTTTGCATATTAAAACATTCAAACACTTTGGAAGCTTAGACACCATATGACTTGTAGCGCAATCTCAGACAGTATTGAGGGTCCACAGTGCAACAAATATCAGTGAGGAGCTGAGGATATGAGGGTCGATACACTAATATCGAGGAGCTTACGGTGTTAGAGGAAATGGTTAGTCTTTTCATAGTTAAGTTTCACCACCTGAAAAGTATATTTAATTCATAAAATTTCTCTGTATCATATCCCAATATAACTAAGTTGTTATGAGCACTTAAAGGAAAGAAAGTTTCCACATATAAACCAAAGGTCAGTAAGCCTTGAAAGCAAGTACTTGCTCACATGTCCAGAACCTAAAGAACTCCCTCAAAGAAATATCTGTGTTCTGATCATCCTTTCCATTTGTGTATGTGAACTACAGCTGCCTACACCCTCTTACTCAACCTCATGTTTGAAGAAAATAAACCCACCTGGGGAAAGCAGAAAGTTTTGCAGGCTACTGGAAAAAATGACTTAAAGCATTTCTAGGCTGATGCTATAATTTCTGGGAATTGGTAGAAGCTTCCTACCTGGTTTTGGAGGAACCTAATTTTCATGAGGAACTTGTGCTTTTTATTTTTATTTTATTTCATTATTTTTTTTTTTTTACAAATAGTTTATTGTCAAGTTGGTTTCCATATAACACCCAGTGCTCAGAACTTGTGCTTTTTAATACAGTAACGAATACTTCATGGATAATGTCACAGCCCCTGACTATATGAAAAATGTCCTTGTCCTGACATTGCCTCCTGAGAATTCCATCTCAAATAGCTCTTTCTCCAAAGATTTATCATGGGTAAGTCTCACAGGTATATACTATTCTTTGTCAAGGGTAATATATTCTTCTTCTATGGAGGACCCAAATTCTAAAGTAAGCAATTATTATTATTTTTTACTCCCATTCACTCAACAGATATTAACTGAGACCAACTATGTGCAATAGCAGAAATACTGATAGTAAAACTCTTACTTTAGGTCACCGTGCTGGCCTTTGGACCACCACGGCAATTGCACTCTGTAACATCAGAATGGAAATGACAATGTGGGAAGACAGGAAGAAGCCCCACTAACTCAGAGAAGGTAGAAACTAAACGATGTACCTAAAGCAAACTTCCGCTGGTGCTGATATCAAAAGTCTACCTTTAAAGATATATATTCCTAGGTTAAGACATGGTCCTCTATTATAATTAAGTTGGCCATTGTTTAAACTTGCCCAGGAGATTCCTGTTTATTCCTCTTACCCAGCATTTCATCTGGTTTAGCCCTGATCCTTAAAAAAAAAAAAGAACTTCCAATTGGACAGTAAATCATGGCCACCTTATTACAATGCAGGGGCCCCTGACCCTAATACTGCTTTAGGCCTTGTCAGTCACTGCACCTTAGCGTGATTAAATTCATCAGATTTCTGCCCTCAGAGTCAGTTGAGAGCGGGTTAGGACTGGGAAGAAGAGGGAAAGAGCAGTCCTGAGGACCCTGAACAGCTGCAGGATGGGAAGTCATGGGCCAGGCCTAAAGAGCTATGAGGGAAGTTGGATACTTTGGGGAGTATAACAGTTTTTTCCTAGACTAGAAATTCTAAACCCTCTGTCTCACAACCCTGCAAAAATTTGGAGCTGCAACCCCTTTGGGGGTTGGGTCTTAACTGATTATTTTTATCTCATCAAATGATGATTTCAGCAAAAGACACTGAAACCAATGAAAGTCATTTTCTTTTTTCTTTTTACATTTTCCAGCAAATACACTTCAGGGTGTAATATTCAGATATCACTTGCACAGCTTCTAGGCTCTGGTGGAAGTGTGATTCTTCACAGGTGGGCAGTCCAAAATGCCCAAGCTGACAGAATTCACTTGGTCTCAGGGGGCACAAGACTTTTAATCTATAACCCAGTTCTGTGAAGACCACCATGCAACTGTCGAGAATTGTCTCCAAAGCAAGTTCAGTGGTATCATCCAATCAAAACTCTTCGTGCCCCATTCAGGGCAGGGAATTGTTTTTACTGTTGTTCTCTTTTACTCTTTGTTAAAACATTAAAATACAATCAAGCATTTTTTCTATATAAAATCTCATCAAGAATTATGAAAATGTTGCATGTTCTTCTTTCTGGTTGAAATGATAGATTTCACCATTATGGGAAGGAAGTACTTCCCTAAAGGTAGTGTTTCTGGTTTATTGATCCTAATGAAAGGCAGAATTTTGACGCAGGGATAATAAAAGAGCCCTGGTTCAAGGACGTATTTTCCAAATGACTTCCTTTAATACCATCCCTATAATCCTCCTAATGTCCCTTTACGTTTCCAGTTACTCTGATGATCCCAAGAACGTTTTGTTTCAGGCTCAAGACCAGAATCCCTTTTTGGAACTCATTTTGAGATTTTTCTTTCTCATTCAGGCAAAAAATGACTTTGCTCTTGCCTACTTGGATGGCATCTTGCTCTTTGGACACATGCTGAAGATATTTCTTGAAAATGGAGAAGCTATTACCACCCCCAAATTTGCTCATGCTTTCAAGAACCTCACTTTTGAAGGTACTGGTCTCCTAAGAGCAAACAACAGCAACAGCAAAACTTAACACTTCATAGAAAGCTGAAGAAGAATGGGCTTTGTGGATGGACTTTGCGAAGCAAAGAGGGGGTTTGGCAATAGATGTATCAACAGCTAAATATCTTTGAACTTGGAGGCAAACATCACTGCATAAATCTGGAGGTTGTTATTCTTGATATCCAGACCCCAGGTTATACTTTGGGATTTCTGAATCTTTCAATATCAAAGAAAGGGCAAATGGCTTGGACGCTGTACTTATAAACAAGCCCATCACAGGGCATTATGGGCAGTGGATATCCCGAATAGCTTAGAGACTAGCAAAAATCAGATTTTTGATTACTGATTCAATCTCCTTACTAGTTATAGATCTATTCAAATTTCCTATTTCTTCATTGTTTAGTCACGGTAAGTTTTATGTTTCTAGAAATTTGTCCATTTCATCTAGGTTATTCAATTTCTTGCTATAGAATTTCTCATAGTATATTTTTTTGTAGAATTGATAAGGTCCCCACTTCATGTTTTATTTCAGTAATTTGAGTCTTTTTCTTATCTACTAAGCTAAAAGTTTGTCAATTTTGTTGATCATTGAAGAACCAACTTTTAGCTTCATTGATTTTTTCTGTTTTTTTTTTCTCTTCTGTATTTCTTTTACCTCTGATCTAATCTTTATAATTTCCTTCCTTCTGCTAGATTTGGGTTAAATTTGTTCTTCTTTTTTGGTTCCTTAAGTTGTAAAGTTAGATTTTTGATTTACATTTGTTTTTGTTTTTTGATGTAAACATTTACATCTTTAAATCCCCCCCTTAACACTGCCCTTGCTGTGTCCCATAAGCTTTGGCATTTTATGTTTTCATTTTTATTTGTCTTTAGGTTTTTAAAATTTTCCTTTTGATTTCTTCTTTGATCCATTAATTGTTTAAGAGTGTGCTGTTTAATGTACATAAATTGGTGAATTTTCCAGCCTTCCTTATGTTACTGAATTCTGACTTTGGTCAGAGAAGATATTTTGTAAAATATCTATCTTTTCAAATCTAGTCAGACTTAATCTGTGGCCTAACATTATAGTCTATCCTGGGAAATGTTCTATGTGCACTTGAGAATAAAGTGTATTCTATTGTCGGGTAGAATGTTCTGTATTTGTCTGCTAGTTGATGTATTGTTCAAGTCTTCTATTTCCTAACTTCTTTTGTCTTGTTATTCTATCCATCATTGAAAGTGAAGTATTGAGGGGCGCCTGGGTGGCTCAGTCAGTTAAGCATCTGACTTTTGATTTCAACTCAGGTCATGATCTCACAGTTTGTGTATTCAAGTTCTATGTTGGGTTCTGTGATAACAGCGCAGAGCCTGCTTGGAATTCTCTTTCTCCCTCTCTCTCTGCCCCTTCCTCCCTCTCTCTCAAAATAAACAAACTTAAAAGAAAGTGGAGTATTGATATTTTCAACTCCTATTCTAGAACTGTCCATTTCTCTGTTCCATTCTGTCAATTTTTGCTTCACATATTTTGGTAGTCTGTTACTAAGTGCATAAACGTTTATAATTGTTATATCTTCTTGCTTTATTGAAACCTTTATTAATATACAATATCCTTTTTGTCTTACAAACTTTTTTTGATTTAAATTCTATTTTGTCTGATATCAGTATGTCCACCGCTACTGTCTTTCATTTACTATTTGCATAGAATATCCTTTTCCATCCTTTCTCTTTCAACCTATTTGTGTTTTTGGATCTAAAGTGAGTCTCATAGATATCATATAGAATCATTTTTTGAAATACAATCTCCCAGTCTCTCTTTGATTCTCCAATCAAAATACAAGCTATTTTAAATTTTAAGTAATTACTGATAAGTAATTTACTTTGATCATTTTGGTATTTGTTCTCTGTTGCCTTATAGTTTTTTTGTCTCTCATTTTCTCCATTATTGTCTTCTGTGTTTAGTTTATTTATTTTGTAATGAAATGTTTGAATTCCCGTCTTATTTTTTTGCCTATATTCTTTAACAATTTTCTTTGTGGATACCATGGATATTACGGTTAACACTCTAAGATTATTACATTCTAATTTTATTTTATACCAGTCTAACTTCAGTCACATTAAAAAAAAAAAAAAAACTTTACAGCTTTAGGGGCACCTGGGGTGGTTCAGTCAGTTAGACAACTGACTTTTGATTTCATCTCGGGTCATGATCTTACAGTTTTTAGGGTCGAGCCCCACATCAGACTCTGTGCCATCAGCACAGATGTGGGATTTTCTCTCTCTCCCTCTCTCTGCCCCTCTCCAGCTTGTGTGCTCTCACTCTGAACATAAATACATAAAGTTAAAAAAAAAACCCTACAGCTTTAATACTTCCATCCCCACCTGTTTCAGACATTGATGTTGCAAAATTACATCTTTTTTTTTTTAATGTTTTTTTATTTATTTATTTATTTCTAGGAGAGAGAGAGAGACAGCGTGAGCAGGGGAGGGTCAGAGAGAGAGGGAGTCACAGACTGAAACAGGCTCCAGGCTCTGAGCTGGCAGTCAGCACAGAGCCCGACGCGGGGCTCGAACCCACGAACCGCGAGATCATGACCTAAGCAAAAGTCGGACGCTTAACCGACTAAGCCACCCAGGCGCCCCAACAAAATTACATCTTTATACATGTGTGTCCAAAAACATAAACTATTGATATTATAAGCATTAGTCTCCTAAATTATGTCAAAAGCAAAATATGGAGTTACAAACCAGTTACAATAATGCTAGTTTTTGGACTAATTTTTAAAAGCACATTCATCCCTTAAATCATGTAGAAAATAAAAAGTGGAATTACGCACTATTGTTATAATAATGCTAGATGTTACAATTGCCCATGCATTTGCCTTTATTGAGAACTTTATTTCTTCATATGGCTTTGGGTTATTGTACAGTTTCCTTCCATTTCAACCTATGGAACTCCCTTTAGCATTTCTTGCAGGGCAAGTTCTAGTGGTTACAAACCCTTTTGTTTATCTTGAAATGTCTTACTGTCACCCTCACTTTTGACATACAGGTTCATTGGATAAATGATTCTTGGATGGAAGGTTTTCTTTTAGCATTTTGATCAGCCCACTGCCTTCTGGCCTTCAAAGCATCTAATGAGAAGTGTCTAAAAATCTTGCTGAGTATCTCTCGTACGTGACAAATCACTGCTCTCTTGCCGCTTTCAAAATTCTCTCTTTGGCTTTTGACAGTTTGATTAGAATGTGTCTCAGTGTGGATCCCTTTGAATTCATCCTTTTGGAGTCTATTGAGCTTCTTCGATATTTATAGTCGTATATTTCATCAAATTTGAGAAGTTGTTGGCTATTATTTCTTCAGATATTTTCTCTATCCCTCTCTCTCTCTTCTTCTGGCACTTCCACAATGCGTATGGTGGTCTGCTTGATGGTGTTACACAAGTCCCTTACGTTCTGTTCCATAGACTTACTAATTTTCATTGTCCTATCTTCAAGTTCACTGGTTCTTTCTTCTACCTGCTTAGATCTGCATTTGAATCTTCATAGTGAATTTTTCATTTCAGTTATTGTATTTTTCAGTTCTGGAATTTCCTTTTGGTTTTCTTTGTAGGTTTTCCTTCTCTTTATTGATATTTCCATTTTGCTGATACATTATTCTCCTGACTTTATGCACTCTCTATTTAGTTATTTGAACATCTTTAAGACAGTTGTTTTAAAACATTTTCTATTAGAGCTACCATCAGGTCTTTTTCTGGGATAGTTTCTGCTGGTTTATTTCTATTTTTTTTGATTGGACCATACTTTTCTGTTTCCTAATATGCCTTGTGATATTTTTGTTGAAAACTGGACATGTGATAATCCAGGAAATCACATGCTATATGGGAAATTTTTACTACTTTAATAAATATTCTTAGCAAAAAGTTTTCATTAATAATTAGAAGGATTCTATTAGCTGATTACATTTAATTTCATCCTAAATGCAATGAAAAAATTTTCCCTTCCAACTAAATACTAATTAGCTTCTCTCTTAAAAATATCCATCAGAGAGGGGTGCCTGGGTGGCTCAGTCGGTTAAGCATCTGACTCTTGATTTCAGCTCAGATCATGATCTCTAGGTTTATGAGATCAACATCGGGCTCTGCGCTGACAGCACAGAGTCTGCCTGGGATTCTCTTCTCTCCCTCTCTTTCTGCCCCTTCCCTGCTCATGCTTTCTCTCTCTCTCTCTCCCTCTCTCTCTCTCTCTCTGTGTGTGTCTCTCAAATAAATAAATTAAAATAAATATCCATCAGAGATCCCAAGGCTAGAAGCCAATGGAGATTCCTTCTGATTAGTTCATTACGACAATCTTTCAGTAAAATAGAGTAATTTGAACCTATTTCATACCTTCTGTAAGGATCTAACTGGTTTTTCTGTCGAAAAGTAAAAAATAACCTCTGACTCCTTCTGATTCTGCCCTAGGGCATGCGGGTCCTGTGACTTTGGACGACTGTGGGGATGTTGACAACACTATGGTGCTTCTGTACACCTCTGTGGATACCAACAAAGTATGTCTGACGTCTTATCAGGAATTTGGGGTGAAGTGACTGGGTGAGGAAGGATAACTACAAGGCGAGTGATAGCAAAGGAATTAGAGAAGTTGTGTTTAAAAACCTGCAAGGTATTTATTTCAAATTCACAATTAGGCCCTACTTGGAACTGTATTCTTTAAGCATTTTGACCCATAGACCTTATTTAGAATATCCCTACTCTACTGACTGTATATAAACTACCCACCCAGAACACTTTGATATAAAGACCAGACTGTTGATGGGATACCAATAGTAGGATGACAGTCCTCTCCTAAGACTTGTTGATTCATTTCCACAGCTAAACATTTCAATGAAACATTCCCTGTTCTCTCCGTCTTAACTCATGAAAATCATTAATTGTGCAATATTTCTGGCACAAACAGTCCTATAATGTCATGTTTTTATTCACATTATATATATCTTTTCTCGTCACCTACATATAGGCTCTTTAGTTTTTAAAGTTTGTTTATTTATTTTGAGAGAGAGAGAAAGAGAGAGAGAGAGTGAGCAGGGGAAGGGGCAGAGAGATTCAGAGAGAGAATCCCAAGCAGACTCTGCCCTGTCAGCACAGAGCCCGATGCAGGGCCCAATCTCACAAACCTGAGCCAAAATCAAGAGTCAGAAGTTGAGCCAACTAAGTCACCCAGGTGCCCCCATATAGGTTCCTTAAAAAAAGGGAGTGGGTCTTACGTCTCCATGTCTCCAGTGTTTAACTTATCTGGCATATAATTGAGGCTGATCAGCATTTAATTTAAAGTCAAAACACCTATCTGTATGTCACCCAAAATTGTCCCCACCACAAATTAGGAAAGCCACCGTTCTAGTCAACCAAATGGTCAGTAGAAAGTATTTTTCTTTAAGACATTGTGTCCTGACATAACTAGGAATCTAAGACAAAGACTTATTCATTTTTTATGTAATTTTATAATGTGATCGTTATGACATCTTTAAGTCATACATTTAGCATATATATAGACCTCCCTTGTAAAAGATATCTGTAATGGAAAATGTGGAAGGCTAGAGAAAAGATGTCCAGATTGAGAAAGTTAAATCAGAAATTTGAGGGCAGCATTTCAGAAAAGTACTCCACAGTGTATACTTATATATAAACCTTAAATATAATGCTGTATTTCACATACATTTCATGGGAATACCTTTAAAAAAGTGTCACCAATTCTCCAGTTATTAGTAGTAACTACAAAGATAACTATATTCCCCTCGAAGTTATTTGCACCTGGACGATTCCCTTGGAGAGAAGCAAATACATGTGGTACGATCCTACATCAGCCTCATAACTGCTCTTTAACATGAAAAATGTTCTGAGCACTTACTCTCTCTCAAGGAAAATCTAGCTGAATTTTTCAATAAAGGCACATCTAGTTGATTTTTCAATAATCTAGTGTCACCAGTTGTGCTATACACTATGTACATATGGGCAACCAGGGATTAATTCTCAAAACACAGGAATATAGATAAGCTATTCCGTCTCCAGAGAAAGCCTCAGAAGAAAGTCAAGATGCTGTACCTGAATGTTAGGATATGGACTATCCTCAATATATGCAATTATAAATCATACTTTCGAGTTAAAAGTATATGTCTAAAGATGTAAAACTTTTGTCCAGAAAGTTTTGAGGGAATGGTGTTGAATTTAGAAAGACGGTCATTTCTCAGATGTCTCTTACAAAGCTGACTCGAGATATGCAGCAAAAATGTCAGGATATATAAATATATCCCATTGGCAGATTGTTTGAAAAAGAAACCTTTTCTTTTATAAACCTAATAAGTGTCATGTACAAGACAGTACATTAGAGCAGAAGGATAGAAGAGATTTGAAAGTTATGTAATTGATAGAATTTAAATGTATAATTACATCAGAGCCCCTTGACATGTATCAAAATGGATAACGGATTTTAGCTGTGGTGCATTTTCTCAAGATTTAATTTTCAAAGCAACTTAATATTGTGGAAAACCTTGGTGCTTCACTTGTCGTGTGACTTGGAGTTAACCCATTAATTTCCTTTGGTCTCTATTTTAACATTTCTAAAATGAGAGGCGTGAACTAGTTCTCTAACAACCCAAAGAATCTATATTGGGTAGGAGTTCCTCATACAGTGTATGATCATAAAGAAACAAAATAATTGACCCACATGGAGTTTAAATTTACTCTCATGCTGTGAACCAATAAATGGATGCTACCTAGCTAGCTCCTGGCTGCTAAACATTACCTTGTTTCACTGCAAAGTGTATGAAATTTAAATGTCATTGGGCAGGGCAGTCTCATCAGAAGTCATTCTAAAATGTCTTTTCCTGTTCATCCTTCTTTTTCATGCCCTGGCGTAGTACAACGTTCTCTTGACCTATGACACCCATGTAAATAGGACTAATCCCAAGGAAGAAAGCCCCACATTCATCTGGAAGAACCACAAACTTCCTAATGATATCCCAGGCCAGGGTAAGGCATCCTTTGGTGAATTTTCTTTCCCTGAAATTGCTTTTCTGGTAAGGTAAGCACATTCTATGGTTTATACAATTAACTTGTTTTTAGTTTTTCGTTTTTTCTATTTGTTGTCTGAATTAGACTTGCCAGGTTTATAAAATGTGGACTTCCCTTCCCAATGAATGATATTACAGTTCTAATTAAATGCTGAAAATATCCCTATTCTAATTTAGCTATACTGCTCTTTAATATGTGCCCTAACTAAACTACATGCTAAAAATTAACCTATAGAAAATTAGTTGTGACCATTGGCAAAATGAACACAAAGACGTATATTCTTAATGCTACGTACTCTGTTGTATTGCAATAAAGTCAAAGTATACATAGTTCAGCAAGAAACACGTGATGCCAGCAGCCATCAGTCTTCAGTGAACATGGCTTCAAAAGTCTCCCCCATTTCCTCACAGGATACACACTTGGATTAAAATGATGATTACCCATCTACTTAGGGTGAGGCCCTATCATACCATGGAAAGCCCTAACATGTCCATGCAACTCCACCCATGCAACTTCCGATGCAACCATATAACAGTGGCCATCACTATATAGGGCCAGTCATGTATCTCCTGGGCAACAAAGTCACAGGACAGTCTAGCTTAGCCAAGGCTAACCACAATAAATAGTAAGTAATTCCACATTACTAATTTATTTTTAGGGGAAAAAGTTTAAATTTAGACAAATATTTATGCCCAAGATACAAAAAAAATAATAATAAGTGGAGGGAACATTAGTAAAATGATTTAGAAAAAGGTGATACACTCATAAATGGTACATTATAAACCACATAAAATAATTATTTACAAAGAATGTTAAGTGACATGGGAAACCTTACAAGGTAAATTAACAGGAAAGTAAACAAATTTTTATTTAATGAGATTCTAACTTCATAAAACAATGTTGGAAATAGACTGTAAAGAAATATGCTAAAATGTTAACAGTGATAGCTTCTGAGTAATAGGATCCTAGGAGAATTTTTTTCTGGGCATTTTATGTTTTTCTTAATTTTCCAATTTTTTTCCATGGCTCTGTATTAATTTACCATTTTTAAATATTAAAAATAAACTAGAGGGGCACCTCGGTGGCTCAGTTGGTTAAGCATCCAACTTTGGCTCAGGTCATGAAATCGCAGTTCATGAGTTTGAGCCCTGTGTCAGGCTCTGTGCGGACAGCTCAGAGCCTGGATGCTGCTTCAGATTCTGTGTCTCTGTCTCTAGCTGCCCCTCCCCAACTGTCATGCTCTCTCTCTCTCTCTCTCTTTCTTTCTTTCAAAAATAAATAAACATAAAAAATTAAAAATTAAACTAGAAATATTCCTCTCTCAGCCCTATTCTAATAACCAGAAACTGAGGTCAATGTGATTTAAAGAGAAAAGTTGTGGCTTGATGCACTTGCTTGTGTTAAAGCTTTTGCTATATTTTTAGTTTTCTTGTGTTGCATGAGTCATATGTAGTTGAAAATGATCCCTGTGTTTTTATTCGATAGCCATAAGCAGTTGACTAAAGCAAAGAAGGATATGGGAAGTGGGGATCCCATTCTTTTAAACAATAAACAATAGGGGCTCCTGGGTGGCTTAGTCGGTTAAGCATCTGGCTTCAGCTCAGGTCATGATCTCACAGTTTGTGGGTTCGAGCCCCGCGTCGAGCTCTGTGCTAACAGCTAACCCAGAGCCTGGGGCCTGTCTTCAGATTCTGTGTCTCCCTCTCTTTCTGTCCCTCACACTGTCTCTCTCTCTCAAAAATAAATAAAAGATAAAAAATTTTTTTAAACAATAAACAATTCAGATTTACTGTAATCATTGCTCTTTTTTTTACGTTTTTATTTTGATTCCAGTTAATATACAGCATTATATTAATTTCAGGTGTACAATATAGTGAGGAATTCAATACTTCCATGCACCACCCTGTGCTCATCATGACAAGTGCTCTCCTTAATCCCCACCACCTATTTCACCCGTTCCCCAATCTCTCCCCTCTGGTAACCATCAGATTGTTCTCTATAAGTAAGACTCTGTTTCTTGCTTTTTCTCTTTGTCTTTCTCTTCTCTCTCATTTTTTCCCTTTGCTTGTTCATTCTGTTTCCTAAATTTCACATATGTGTGAAATCATATGGTATTTGTTTTTCTCTAACTTACTTCACTTAGCATGATACTCTCCAGCCTCCCTCATGTTACTGAAATGGTGAGATTTCATTCTTTTTGATGGCTTAAATATTCCATTGTAAAATACCACTTCTTTATACATTCATCAGTTGATGGACACTTGCGCTGGTTTCATGTTTTGGCTATTATAAATAATGCTGCAGTAAACATAGGGGTGCATGTATCCCTTTGAATTAGTGTTCTTATACTTTGGAGGGTAAATATCCAGTAATATGGTTGCTGGATCATAAAGTAGTTGTATTTTTAGCTTTTTGAGGAATCTCCGTACTGTTTTCATCAGTGGCTGCACTCGTTTGCATTCCCCCCAACAGTACATGAGTGTTCCTTTTTCTCCATATCCTCACCAACACTTGCTGTTTCTTGTGTTATTGACTTTAGTCATTCTGACAGGTGTGAAGTGATATCTTATTATAGTTTTGATTTGCATTTCCCTGATGATAAGTGACAATGAACATCTTCTCATATGTCTGTTGGCCATCTGGATGTCTTCTTTGGAGAAATATCTGTGTGCGTCTTCTGCCCAGTTTTAATTGGATTAATTTTGGAGGGAGTGTTTTAGAAGTTCTTTATATATTTTGGATACTAACCTTTTATCAGATATGTCAATTGCAAACATCTCCCATTCTGTAGGGTTGCCTTTTAGTTTTGTTGAGTGTTTTCTTCACTGTGCAGAAGCTTTTAATTTTCATATAATCCCAATAGATTATTTTTGCTTTTGTTTCCCTTGCCTCAGGAGACATATCTAGAAAGAAGTTGCTCTGACCTATGTCAAAGAAGTTACTGCCTGTGTTCTCTTCTAGGATTCTTGTGGTTTCAGGTCTCACATTTAGGTCTTTAATCCTACCCAAAGTGATAGATAAGATACCTAGGAATAAACTTAACCAAAGAGGTGAAAGATCGGTACTCTGAAAAATATAAAATACTGATGAAAAAATTGAAGATGACACAAAGAAATGGAACGACATTTCATGCTCATAGATTGGAAGAACAAATACTGTTAACATGTCTATACCACCCAACGTGGTCTACATATTTAATGCAATCCCTGTCAAAATACCAACGAAGGAAAGAAGGAAAGAATAACAATATGAGATAACTACAAATTCATTTCTACTCAGCACTAATCCACCCTGTGATAATTTCAGTCACTTTACTTCTCTAAGTGTGAGTTTCTTCCTTCTTCAAATCAGGAGATCTGTTAACAGCCTCCAAGATTCTTCCCAACTATCATATCATAGGACCTTGGGGTTATAAAATCATCCTACCATCACCGTACATGGAATTAAATAGAATGTGATAACCACAGCAGCCACCAGAAGGCAGCAGAAGCTTAACCTTTGAACTAATGTAATCCTGTGACTTGACTAGCTTAAGCAAAAATGACAAGTGTGTTGAATTAACAACTGCTTTACTTACATGGTATATAGTATATTAATATATGGTGCAGTGAGATGTTCAGACTTTAGGGGGCAGATAGAAATTGAGAGGGGAAAGGACTCAGCAGAAGCCCCACCTCGTCCCTCCAATTCATGCTCTAGTCTAGGGGATGTGTAATTTTAGTAGACTGATGAGTAGAATCATTGATGAGTAGAATTGTATTTCTTGTATTGTTTTTTTGTGTGGAATTGGATGTATGAGAGTGATGGTAATGGCAGTGGTGGCTAGGTGAGGGGAGTGATGATCACAGTAATAAATAGATTTCACACAGTCAAATATGCCCATACTGCAACTCCAAATCCAAAGTACTAATCAGTTTCTTCCCTGATGAGAACAGAAATACTGAGCTCAAATTTTCACTGCTAAAAATTTTCCCTTAGCAGAAAACAAGATAACAAGCAGAGGCAGCATCCTACATTGGCAGCAAAGCATAAATCCTTCAATGCCACCACTAAGCATAGAGAAATTTTTGGTAAAGAAAAATGCATGCATGTGATTTTTAAACCCAATAGTAGAAACATTCATAATGGAAAGTGAGTGTGCCTGGTCCCACCACCGCTGTCAACTTTGGTCTCTCAGTGACTTCTGACTTTAGTTTTTTGCATATTTCTAAGTAATATGCATATATTTCTGGATTTATAAACATATTAGATATTATCTGGTTTTTAAAATGTTTATTTATTTGAGAGAGAGAGAGCAGGAGAGGGGCAGAGAGAGAGGGGGAGACACAGAATCCAAAGCAGGCCCTAGGCTCTGAGCTGTCAGTGCAGAGCCTGATGCAGGGCTCAAACTCACAAACCGCGAGATCATGACCTGAGCTGAAGTCTGGCACTTAACTAACTGAGCCACCCAGGCGCCCCAGATGTTATCTGTTTATTTCTTGTAAAAGATTTAGTTCATCTTTACCAGCCCTACTTATTTCTAACCTTTTCTCAATATAGCTATAAATATTTTTTTGTCAATGCATTTATTGGGTGCCTTTGTAATGTTAGTTAATAGGCATAAGCTTCTAGTATTATTCTATCAACTATGTAAAAAACTTCGTGCTTCCCAATTTTGTAGGACAAAGGTTTTCGTGTCCCTATCCTTCTTTCTCCCTCCTTCCTACCTCCCAGATTCTCCTGTATTTTTCTTTCATTTGTCGTAGCTAATAATATCTATTTCGTACCTCTATGAAGCTCTCTGCCATTTACCTATAAGTTGATTCTATAAGAAAATTAGTAAACATTTTTATCATTATTTATATAAAGCTAAATGACACGCTATTGCTTAGAATCCGTTCCATTTTCCCTTCTCCAACTAATTTCCTATTCTAATGGAATCCATTGCGGCATATATGAACCATGACTTTCTTGTACAGTCTTACTGTTGTTAGTGTCCTTCTCAGTCAAGGCTTGTCCCTTAGCAGATTCAGATTCTGCTCCAATGCTTCCTTGGGTTGGATCCACATTTTCCCGAGTTCCACTTACCCTTCTGTGAGTCTCTTAAATTCCTCTGTCCTTACCACTCGACCTATCTACGAGTGTTCTAATAAATAAAGTCACTTACATTCTTCCGTGACTTCCCTCGATCACCTGGTAGTGCTTGGGAAGGACCAGCAGGTGACACTGTCACCTGATATTCTACAATGGCTGACTTTTCTTCTGATTTGTGCTTGGTCTTGAAAAATAGTTGTCTGTTTCTCTATGAGTCCTCCTTAGGTATGTGGGTTCCAAGGACATCAGGTGGGCTTCCTACCAAACCTATCTGTGCACTGGAAACTATTTTATGTTCTTGCAACATTTGGTGATTCCCATAAGAAATACATCGTGCAGGTTATAAGGATAGCTGAAATCAAACCACTTTCCCTGGCACATTCCAGAAAATTTTCTTCAGAGACCACAGATATAGGACCTTAACTACTAATGAAGAGATTAATAAGAGATAAATAGTTTTAAAAAGTTTCTCCTTTCCCCTTCCTCAAATTAGATTATACAAGTAGAGCCTTTGAAATGTTTTCATTCACTCTTCAAAGATCCTTACTAAGGCATTTTTTCTCTCTCTTTCCTGCCACAGGCCCTCAAGTTCTGTTGATTGCGGTCTTCACCCTCACAGGAGCTGTGGTTTTGCTCCTCCTCATCGCCCTTCTGGTGCTGAGGTACCTGTCACCCCCTTTGTCTCACTGTGCTCATCATCCAGAGAAGGAGGGAGCTGGAGAGGGCAAAGCCTGACGTCATCAATGATAATGGACGTCTAGACTAGACGTCTAGAAACAAGGTTTCTAGACAGATCGCAGATCATGAAGGCGTTCTGCATCAAAGACTCCATCAAGGGCACAATGGTGCTGAATAGATCACTTGGAGCTTGGCGTCAGAACTCCTCTCTAGCTCAGTTCGGTGACTTACTAGTTGTGTGATTTTAAGTGCATGAGGATGTGTTACTTAGCTTCGGTATCCTCATCTGAACTGTTGTGAGAACTTGAAATAAGGTGTGTTTAGTGACAATCATGTAATGGGCACTCTACAGGTAGAGACAGCTATTCTGCTGTCTTATTGGCATTTTGGGGGAATATGTTCAGGCTGGAAGAGTCCTTAGAAATCATCTACCTCAAACCTCCCATTTTAGCATGGGGAAAGAGACCCAGAAAACCAAATGGTTTGTCTTTAATTATACCACCAGGTAGTGTGTAGGGTCAAGACTAGCACTCAGACCTTCTGACCATCAGTTCCATGGTTGTTCTACTTTATTTGGACTTACGAGTTGCCCAGCACAGTGACAGAGGCATAATGTACACTCAGAAATATTTGTTGAATATATAAATGATGAGCAAATACCATACTACCTCTTAATCTGTGTATGTTAAACACACAAAACTTTCCATCATATTCTATTGTCAGAATCACCCCCATTCCCCTACTGAACCAGACAACAGTTTTTCTCTGTGTACCACACACGTTGATCTGTGTGTCACTGTGCTTTCTCATGAGAGAATCCGGCCTGTTGCCTGTCACTTAAAGTTTTCTCCAAGAAAGGAAGTAGATTGCTCTGTTCAGTTTGAAGGCAGAATTTGACTCCTATAACTGCATTACCCCAAATGTGAGATGTGTATACACATATACAGTGTATGGTGGTTATTTAGTTGAAGGTAACCAGAAACCAAAATTTGAGGAGAATAAAGCCAGCCAACGGCAAGGTCGCAATGTGGCAGTTGTCCTTCAGAAACCAAGTCCAAATGATTGCCAGCTTAAGATAGGGGTAAATCACAAGGTAAGAGACAATAACATGTGGAAACAGGCATTTTCCATTTTCTTTAAGCACGGGAGGCAGAGATAGGGTTTCCCAATGGGCAGAGCAATGGTGTGTCCAAAGATCTGGTAGACAGATTTTATTCTTATAGTTCTCCATTACAACTGCCTATACAAGACAAGTGCTGAATGATTTATGGCATCCCCTGATTCAATATGAATGACAGCTGGCTCTGTTGGGTCCCAAGCGTCTTTGGGAATGCAGAGATGAGAGCCTTTAAGGCTGCAAGACTACTTTGCCTCCAGGTCTTAGGATCTTAATCACTGGTCAATAATATACTATTTTATAGGTATTTAATAGAGGAATACTCAGAAAAGCATAGGAAGAAAATCATCATTTCTGTTTAGGGGACATTAATAAGGGCACACAGATGACTTTAAGAAAGTGAGTAGAAATTTGTCAAATGACCACAAGCAAAGACAAACTCAAGGACACATAGCTCAATGGAAAAAAAATCAGATTCTAGAATCAGACACAGCATGCAATGGAACTTAGAATATGATAGAGGTGATATTACAAGTCAGTTGGGAAATGATGTTGGCACAGTCGGCTTGCAATGTGGAAAACATGAAATTCAAATCCTACCTGAAACCATACACAAATATAGAATTTATTCCATATGGATTATAAATGGGATAAAGACCTAAATGTGAAAACTCAAACTTCAAGCCTTAGAAGAATTCATAGAAAATGACTTTGTAATCTCAACTAGGAAAATATTTCTCAGTTAAGGTAAGTCATAGAAGAAAAACAAATGAATGTAGCCATAATAAAAACTAAACTTTCTATACAACAAAGTTAAAATAAGCAATAAACTAGAAGAAAGTATTTGCAATACATAAGAGGACAAAAGATCTGTTTTGCAGAATATATCAGGAATTCATGTTAATTATTCACATATGGGAATAATTATGAATGAATATGTAACAATATATTCTATAAAATACGTAGGAAGTATTTGAAAAGACATTGAATCTCTTTAGTAATAAAAAAGTGGGGGTTGCCTGGGTGGTTCAGTCAGTTAAGCTTCCGACTCTTAATTTCTGCTCACTTCATGATCTCACAGTTCATGAGTTTGAGCCCCACGCTGGGCTCTGAGCTGACAACACAGCACCTGCTTGGGATTCTCTCATGCCCTCTCTCTCTGCTCCTCCCCTGCTCGCATGTGCACATGTGCTCTCTCGCTCTCTCTCAAAATAAATGAACACTTTTTTTTCTAAAAGGAATAGTTTCTGTTTTGGAAAAATGAATCACAAAGCAACAATTAAATACCAACTCACATAATCATAATGGTAATAAAAAACAGTTTAATAATACCAAATGTTAAGGATATGGAGGAAACAGGAATTCTAATGATGGGAGGGTCAGCTGGTGTAACCACTTTGGGAATTTGGCAATATCTTTAAAAATCTGTGTTTCCTCTAACCCAAGAATTCTGCTTTATCTATACTAACAACTAAAAAATTGACATTTTGAATATTGAAATGCATGTTGTGTTTTCTCTGTGCTTTTCTATTTTCCTTACACATTTTTTTAAAGGCACATATGCATAAGAGGAATTGGCTTGTTTAGGAATCTGGTATATTTTCTGGTGGCTTAAAAATTAACATTTTTGCTTTTCAAGCTTAATTTTTTTTTGTTTTCCTTACTCTTTCTGTATCATCAGTTCAGATTCTTTATTATGGTGAAGAGCTGCCTTAGTGAAGGACCTGAGGAGAGGGGAGGGAAGGGAAAGAGAGATGGAAAGGAAAGGGGAGGGAAGAGGAGGGAAGAGAAGGGAAGGGGAGGGAAGGGGAGGGGAGGGAAGAGAAGGGAAGGGGATGGAAGGGGAGGGGAGCGGAGGGAAGGGGAGGGGATGGAAGGGGTGGGGAGGGGAGAGAAGGGGAGGGGAGGGGAGAGAAGGGGAAGGGAGGGAAGGGGATAAAGACATCAGAAATCCTTATAGCTCCACTAATAGCCAGAATTCACCAGTTTAGAAAACATGAAGTCACACATATCTACCTGAGAATATCAGGGCTCTAAATTTCTCTTAGTGTTCAGAAGCTAAATGACGCGAATGTTAATAAAAACCTATTGACTGGTTCTATTCCTTTCACAGAAAATATAAGAAAGAATATGAACTTCGTCAGAAGAAATGGTCCCACATTCCTCCTGAAAATATCTTTCCTCTGGAGACCAATGAGACCAACCACGTTAGCCTGAAGGTATGAAATGTAGAGCTTGTGCAACTTACCACGTGGTTGACAAGATCATTTCTTGGAGAGTCTAGGATGTAGACATTTTCTACTTCTCAGCTTCCCATCTTTCCATCAATCCTCCATTGCCTTAACGTAGATGTCAGGATAGAGAATTTGAGTTCTACTGAACCCTGGCTACTGTTCTTCCCATCCTAAGGATGCGTGGCTATCTTGCTCACTGCTGAAGGAAGAGGCCTCTGCTGATGTTTGCCTGCCTTCTCCCTCAGCCAGAAGTGTCACAGCAGCCAGTCATAATCCCTCACCTTCAGTGCTGTAGTGCTGGATCCACAGCATCTCATCTGCAGTGTTTCTGATAAGGAACTCAGGAGTTAAACTTGATCATAACTTTGCTGATGAGGTAACTGAAGGATGCGGGGTGAGGAAACAGTGCAGGAACACACAGCTACTGAGCAATTAGTAACAGCTGACGCTGAGCACTTGTCACGTGCTGGATGCATTGACCCCTCTCCTCTTCCCCCGAGCCCTGTGAGGCTAACAGGGCTAGAAGTTCAAGAACATGGCCACAGTTTGAACCTAGTCTATCTAAGTGTGAAGCCTGAGATCCTAAAACCTATCTTTGACCATATCTTTATCAAAGTTTTTATACCAAAGCATACTAAGAGAAGAGGGAGACCCAGAACCTCCACACGAAGGGATTGGTGGGGTCCCTCAGCCTAGGGCTGGGCCAGGTTTGTCCTCTGAGCCACCCTAGCAGCTCATGGCACTCCACACTGCTCCCACATGTCACGCTCTGAGAGCTAGGACCCTTGCACGCTATACAAGGACTAGGTCTCCCTTGCCTCCAGTAATAGGTCCTGCTCTGAACGCCCTTCCTGTCTGTCCCATTCAGAACCTCACATATAAAAGTTGTATTCACAAAGCCCACTCTGTCTCAGGCAAGTGTCAGGATCGACTCCACCTTGCAATAATTCACAGAGAAGTACAGATAATCCTTAGACTATTGGACTTCGCAGGAGAGAAGTTTTGGACCTAAATGACTAATCGGCAGTACCCCCTGGAAGGGAGAGGAGACCTCCAGAAGGAGCAAGTGCTCCTCTGCCTCTTATGACACCAGCACAGCCTGCCATGTGGCCCACCTCTGCACACATCCAGACGTGCCTCCACTCTTCAAAAGCCTCCCCCACGGCCTCAGCCCCCACACTCCATATTTGTTCTTTTTGATGAAGCCTAAAATATTGTGTCTCTGTGTTCTTGAGGTGTAATATTCCTAGAAATACAGAATATTCCTAGAAATATAACCCATCTATCCCTCATCAGACATTACAGAATTTTTATGTGTTAATTCATCAGAATAGCCCACTCATCTGGCTGAGGAATAAGTCTTTTGGACAGTAAACTTAAAGGAGGGAGCGTGGAGGGCATTCAGGGCATGGGGAGTTAGAGTCACCCTGAATTTCAGGAAGGCTGGGGAGTAGGCGGCCAGGAACTGGCTGTAAGGAGAGACTTTCCAGTGCCATGAGTCCGTGCAGCAGGGAGAAAGCCCAAGGAGGTCAGCCAGAGTCAGCCAGAGGGGGAAATGCCACACCACCACGCAGACAGCGGTTCAAATCCTGTCTATGTGCTGAAGGCAGAGACGAGGAAACAAGACCAAGGGATGGGATGAGAAAGACTACATCCCTAGAACAGAAAGGGGCAGAAAACCAAACTAGCCAGACAAAAAGAGAAATCAGGAAAGTCAAAGGGATAAGTAACAAATGAAAAAAAAATGATGAAGATCATGGTAATTCATTTGAGGATAAAACACTTAAGCTTACGAGACAATTTCGCAAACCTGATTGCATTTGATACCCAGTGTCCCTGTCAGGATTTCCCAGGTAAGGTACTAAGGTTCAAATAGTTTGACTGACCTAATCAAGAGCTCAGTAAAAAGAGTACGACACAAGACAGCAAGCTCACATTCTGCTGTCTGCCTATATGTGACACTTGGTGCCAGTTAACCCGTATGTAGCTCATTTGTAAAATGAGAAGAGGAAGAGAAGACAACAGGCGTTTCTTAATCTGCCTTGTGCCAGGCATCATGCTGGAATTTGATATAGTTTATGTCACTCACATTTCAAAAGGTCCTATGAGATAGGTTTTAACCAACATTCTAATACGTTACAGGTTTTTCTGCAAACCAAATTGAAAGAGGCAATAGTTTTCAATCTTTTTTCTGCCTTTAGACCAGAAGTCTGGCAGATCAAGGGCCGTATCTAGCCTGCAGGGGTGTGTGTGTGTGTGTGTGTGTGTGTGTGTGTGTGTGTGTGTGTGTGTTTCAGTTAATATTTAACATCTTTTAAAATTAGTTGCCAGATATAAAAATGTTGGAATGGCATAGGAAAATCCACATTATCAGCTTCTTTTGACAAACCAAATGATCTGGCAACTCTAGGCTGAACCCAGAGCTTGCCTTCCTCAGACACCCAGCCCAGTGTCCTCACTTGCACTGCTGATTGGACCTTGAGGCATGAGTTTGCAACCCAAGTACACAGCACACTACCCTAAGAGCACCTGTCTGTAGCTACAGGGCAAGATTCCCGGTAGAATGGGCCAGAAGAGAAGGAAGCAAAGAAAATCCCTGGCTGAAGTAGGCCGCAAGAAGGGAGGTAAAGGGTGGAAGACCCAGAGTTAAGCACAAGAGGTAGATCCCTGGAAGGAAGACCCTGTTGGAGACTGAAGGTCAGTGGCGACAGGGAGCATGCTGTGAACCAATAGATAGGGCCCACCTGGCAGAGTCACGCTGCCTCTGGCAGTAGATGGGACAAGGTATGAAGTTTCTATAATAATTAGCCTTTTCTTGTGCCAGATCGATGATGACAAGAGACGAGACACAATTCAGAGACTCCGACAGTGCAAATACGACAAAAAGGTGACTAGGCTCCTCTGCTGTTCTGAACTCCCAATGGGGCTGTGTCCCAGGACTTCTGCTCATCATTCCCCCGGCTTCTGATGGTACCAGTGTGATGGTGGGGGCTGGCCCAAAGGGCTCTTCTTGGAGCTTGTCACGGGGATGGGCGGGGTTCTGCTTCAAAGGTTACCAAACTCACAATCCTGGGAAAATTGAAAGACAGATAGAATTTTTAAGAGGTGGTAGAGTATAGGAAGGAAAAGAAAAATAGAAGAGTTCAGAGCAGTCCAAATTACCCCAGTATTCTACTTTGGTGCATTGCAGTGGGAATACAACAGTCCCATATGGAATTTCTGTATCTTCTTTGCTCCCTCCCCCACTCCCTTTTCATTTAATCATTCTTAAAGAAACATTCAAACCTGAGCCTATGGCAGGTACTAGGCACCTGGGATATAAATATTAATAAAATAGTCACTGCTCCCAAGAGCTTACAGTATACTGGGGAGACAGACCCACAACAAATTGTTATAATATGCATATAGGTGGTCATGCTATATTATCTCCTTAATTGATCTTTGTAGCGAGTGATTCTAAAGGATCTCAAGCACAATGATGGCAATTTCACTGAGAAACAGAAGATAGAATTGAACAAGGTATGTGTCTCTTACTTGAAATCCTTAAATGAGAAAGAACTTCACTCCATTTGCCTAAGCACTGAAATCTCCAGTGGAGTAAGATGTTATTGGGGATGGTGACAAACAAGCTCTGAGACCAAGAAATGGATGACTATACTCCTCTTGGTTGAAAAGTCTACCAACAGAAGTGGAAGAACAGTGTTTGATGGTGTGAAACATATTAGAAATCTATTAACATGTCCTAGAAATTGGCCCTGATAGTATTTGAGCATAGTCAAAGGTTCATCTTCCGGTCTCCTTGCTGGTGAAAGCAAAACCACTGAGTACAATGTAGTGTCAGTAAGAAATGTACTGACTTTCCAATGCATCAAGAACAATGCATCTTCCCAAAGACCTGAAACATGACATGTTTTATTAGCATACTAATTTGTACTGTAATGCTCCTTTCTGCCTGACTTGCTTTGTAAATAAACATGTTATCTTAGCTGCTTCAGATGGACTATTACAACCTAACCAAGTTTTACGGCACAGTGAAGCTTGATACCATGATCTTTGGGGTGATCGAATACTGCGAGAGAGGATCCCTCCGGGTAAGGAGCCATGATCATTCCCAATTTCCTAACTGGTCAGCCATATTGGAAAAAAAGATTTAGTAGAAATTTTAAATGTTTACCCAGTGAAACAACATCAGAGAATTATTAGATCCATATGCTTACCAACTTATCACTTAGATTTTGTCAACCAAACTTAACCACATTTTTACAAAAAAAAAAGCAAACCAAAAATAGTCGAGTGTAGACTTGAAGACACAGAGAACGGATGTGGAAAAGTGAGTGATTACTTCTAAATTCACTTTATTTTACTTGCATACTTCCTTTTGTATTAAGAGAAAAATGGAGGGGCACCTGGTGGTTCAGTTGAGCATCTGACTCTTGATTTTGGCTCAGGTCATAATCTCACAGTTCATGAGTTCAAGCCCCATGTCAGGCTCTACGCTGACAGCATGGAGCCTTCTTAGAATTCTCTTTATGTCAGAACAGCAGATATAAAAAGCAATCAGACCCAATCAAAGAAAGATGTGTGGTCACTCTACCTTTGGGCCACTTTCAGACCCAGTATTTCTTAAACACCTCCATGTCTTCTCTATAATGAAACCAAAATACCAAGTTTGGGGACAGTAACAACTTCAAAGAGGTCCAAATATTCATAATACAATAAAATTTTAAAATAGTAAAAAAATTAAATTAATCACTTAGAATCTTTTAAAGGAACCTTCAGTTAAATGAATAGTAGCTTTCGAAATGTATGGCATAAACTCAGATCTATCTTCCAGGGGGAAAAAAATAATAGCCTTGAGTGATATTTCTCTTAAAAAACAAATAATCTGAGTATTCAATGCAAAAATTTAGAAGAATAAATTTACTATGGCCTGAGTGAAGGAAACTTATAAAATTTAATTATTATAAAAAATGTAGAATTTTAAGGTGCATTCATTAGTTTTTTTAAACATAAAACATAAAAGCCTCCCATACTTCTAATTAAAATTTTTAAAACAAAAATTTTTAAAACAAAAAAGTGGGAATAAAAAATAAAGCTATGGAAAAGATATTTTCAGTTGTGAAAGAATACTTCATTAGATTATTAAATTATAAAATCTTTTAAAATGAATATTTTCAGAAGACAATAGAATCATGAAATTTTGACTCAAAAAGCAAAAACTTAAATAGGACAATGATGATACAAGAAATTATAATTTCCATTACAGATAATACCGGATCATCTTAATTCTTTTTAAACTTCAAAAAATAATTCTTGCTGTCTACATAAACACTATTGTAATGTTAAATGAAAAATGAACATCTTCTAAATTCAGTTAACATTCAACAAGGCTAGCGTAAAGTTGATAATAAAATTCACTAAAGACTAACTACATTTATGAAATGTAAGTAAATTACTAATAGCTCTAAGACAGTTTTATATAATCAGATATGATTAATTCTATGAAAGGAAAAAATATTACTATAATGCATCATATCAAATGTCATAGAAGTCTCACAATCATTGCAATTGATGCTGATATAAAATAAACACACATTCCTAATAATAAAAATCTCAAGTCTTTCAAAATTACAGATCTTCCTCAATTTACAGTGGGCTTATGTCCCCATAATGGCATCATAAGTTAAAAAAATTTTTAAGTAAAAAATGCATTTAATCCACCTAACCTACCAAACAGCAGAGTTCATCTTGGCCTACCTGAAACAAGCTCAGAGCACTTACGTTAGCCTACAGTTGGGCACAATCTTTTTTTTTTTTTTTTTTTTTTTTATTTTATTTATTTATTTATTTTTTTTTTACAAATAGTTTATTGTCAAATTAGTTTCTACATAACACTCAGTGCTCATCCCCAAAGTGCCCTCCTTCTTTTCCTTTCCCCCCTTCCCCTCACATCCATCAGTCCTCAGTTTTTGTCAGCATTCAAGAGTCTCTCATGGTTTGCCTCTCTCCCTTTCCCCCACCATTTCCGCCCTTCTTCTCCCCCTTGTTCCTCCGTCAAGTTCCTCCTAATCCTCCTATACGTGCAAACATATGGTATTTGTCCTTCTCTGCCTGACTTATTTCGCTCAGCATAACACCCTCAAGGTCCATCCATGTTGCTACACATGGACAGATTTCATGGTTTCTCATTGCCATGTAGTATTCCATGGTATAGATAAACCACATCTTCTTGATCCATTCATCTGTTGATGGACACTTAGGCTCTTTCCATGTTTTAGCTATTGTGGAGAGAGTTGGGCACAATCTTTTAACACAAAACCTATTTACAATAGTGTTGAGTATCTCATGTAAGTTACTGAACACTGTACTGAAAGTAAAAAATAACAAGATGGTTGTTTGGGCAGCGAATGATTGTAAGTATATTGGTGTTTATCCTCATGATTGATTGGCTGACTGGGAGCCGAGGCTCACTGCCCAGCCTCATAAATTGCCAGCCCTGGGAAAAGATCCCAATTCAGAATTTGAAGTATGATTTCTACTGAATGCATATCATTTTCACACCACTGTAAAGTAAAAAAAAAAAAAAAAAAAATTTCAAGTCAGACCGTCATAAGTCAGGAACCATCTATTGAAATATTTTTCGGGGCAGGGTACCTGGGTGGCTCAGTCGGCTGAGCATCCGACTCTTGGCACGAGTCATGATCTTGCGGATTGAGGCCTGCCTCGGGCTCCACATTGACTGTACAGAGCCTGCTTGGGAGTGTCTCTCCCTCTCCTCCCTCTCTTTCTGCCCCTCCCCTGCTTATATGCACACATGTGTGCACTCTCTCTCTTTCAAAATAAATAAATAAACTTTAAATCAAACAACAACAACCACAAAGAAATGTTTTTCAGATGAGGGCTGGACCAAATCTGATCATTTGATTTCAGTGAAATGGAATTTTAGAATACCAATTAATAGGGCCTGATCAAAGGGTTTCACATGGCCTTTTGATCCCTAAAATGCCCAGTCAATGTTTAGATAGTGTTTTTGGCTCTCTGCTGTGAGGTAGGAAACTTCATTTATCTGAGTGCACCCGGAACCCCTTCTGGCATTGCTTACTCATGTTGGACAGAAGCTTCCACAGGAAACGCCTCCTTTGTGTCTGGAATCTCAAAGCAAAGCCTGTGCCAGTGCAAATTTTACAGTCCCGCCCTCCCTCCACCCCCCACCCCTCCATCCCCACAGGCTTCAGTCCATGGCACATCCCATCAGAATCTACTTTTGTAAGGAAACAAATGAGCGAGTCTTTCCCTAGATAAAAGACAATATGCTTCCCATGTTATAAATATATAACAACCTTGGCTAACCTTGTTTAGGAACGGTTGGTTCATTTATGCAACAAATATTCATGAAACATCTATCCATGCCATACACTGTACTAGATATTGAAGATACAGAACAAAAATTATCACGGGAGTTTACGTTCCCATAGGGAGAAGAGATAATACATAAAAATATAAAATATATCAGGTGCTAAGGGAAAGAATGACTTCAGAGTCTGTCTGCCCATAATTTCCTTCCCTTAACCTGGCCTAGTACCCACAGCTAAGCCAGCCCTGTTTGAAATGATTAATGACCTCACGCCCTTCCTTGGAAATCAGTGGTACAGTTCCTGAGTTAAAACTAAAGGTCAAGGTGGGCTTTTTCCCCAAACAGGAAACTATTGTTAGGTTATTAGAGTTTTACTGTGAAGAATCGTTATTGCTTAGCTAAAACCCTGTGTCTTCATAAAACCATCATCGTTATTAAAATAGTGAGTTCAAAACTCTGGGTGATACAATTCACACAAAATCCAAGAACTTGCTCCTATTGACTGAGTACTTGGCAAACGTAGAGAAAACTCAGGGCAGTCAGCCAATGGACGCAATTGATCCCATGAGGAAAATCATAAGGCTAAGGACGGGATTCCCTAACAGCAAGTCCTGGTTTAAACACACCAGTGTGATTTTGGAGAAAGAGAACCAGCAGCCCAGCAACCTGTGACAGCCCATGCCCCCGGCAGGTGTCCACTCATCCCTTTACCCCTATCTGGTGGAAGAACCAGGATTTGGAATACTATGGGTATCTCCTGCTTGTTTTATTGTGGAGAGAGCCACGTGGTGTTTCATAGGAAAGGAAAGAAATCCATGTTCAGGAAAAACAGGACAATGGCACTTCAGTGTTTCTGAGCCCCAGGCCTCGTGATCAGAAGATCATTATTAGCCTATAACAGTCTCTCTGTAGTATTCTTCTTTGCAACCATTTCTTCCCTTTCTTTTTTTTTTTTTTTTTTTTTTTTTTTTTGCTGTTCAGGAAGTTTTAAATGACACCATCTCCTACCCTGATGGTACATTCATGGATTGGGAGTTTAAGATCTCGGTCTTGTATGACATTGCTAAGGTAAGAGACCTACAGACGAAAGAGACGCGCATGAAAATTAAACATAGGGAAACAGATCTAGCAAGCTTTCAACCTCTCTGAGCATTGGTTTCTTCATCTGTAAAATGATAATAAAAATAGTACCTATGTCAGAAGGTTGTGAAGATTTCATAAATAATTCATGTGCTTCATATGATGCTTGGTATAAATAAATGTTTGATATCCAAGCTATTACTTTTCATTATGTTTTTCTGACTCTGAGCTTGAGGTACACATTTTCATAGACTTGCTGAAAATGAAAATCGTAGTGAGCTGCATGCAGGCAAGATGACAATCTTCGACTTTTTAAGAGAAAATATTAGGGACAGGCAAACCTCTTGCACAAGGCACTAATGAATTTGGACATGTATATCCCCAGATAGTATGTGAAAAAAGGAAGTGGCCACCAGCGACCTCATTCAAGAACGAAGAAAAGTCAGTCCCAAGATTGAGCTGTTTGATACAGCCTTAAATAGCCTGAACGTCGTCTAGGATTAGAATCAGTTTTAGAAAATACTGTACGATACCCACCCACTGCCACTTTTCACTCCTGCGATCCAGGCTGAAAATGGGTTACTGCGGTGACACCTCTGGCCACCAGAGGGAAGCACAGCAGCCCCCCGAAAAAGGGCCCCGGGGCTGGGGAGGCTTGCCCTTCAGAAGGGCAAGTCTGTATTTCAGTGGACGTAGAAAACCAGAAATAGACCCAAGATCACAGACTGAGTGGTAAGCAGAAACACTTAAAAACAATTTAGGGTCAACTCCTCGTTTCGTATTCTGTGTAACTATTTTAACCAGGGTCTTTACACAATTACCTTTAGACAATTGCCTTTTAAGATGCAGTGCTTAGGCAAATATTAGGGCATTAACAATATGTTTAAGGTAGAATGAACAGAACTCAATTTAAACTTTAATGGTGTGATTCTATCTGCATGCCGAAGTGGTTTCAAAATGTTATTACTCTTTCTAAAATAATCAAGCCACTGAGGAGTGTCCTATCTCCTTGTTCCCTTGCCCTATGAAACATTACAGGGCATGTCTTACCTGCATGCCAGTAAGACCGAAGTCCATGGCCGTCTGAAATCCACCAACTGTGTGGTAGACAGTAGAATGGTGGTAAAGATCACTGATTTTGGCTGCAGTTCCATTTTGCCTCCAACAAAAGGTCTGTAAAGGAATGACATTTTTACTGGTTCCCTCCTTTAAAAAAATTCTCACAAGTGCTTGGGGGAGGGGTGACACTGATCAGAAAATAACCCCCGTGGCGGGGGGGGGGGGGGGGGCAAGAGGGAACCGCTGGCTCCTTCTCCAGCACTACACGCTTGTCGGTTTCCAACTGACAACATTTGTTCTTGAGATGAACAAATCAGTTTTCAACAAGTGCTTCTTGAGTTGAACAAATCTCCTCTGTGGGTTTCCTTCATCAGTGTGTTTCCTGATATCAGTGAGGAAATCATGAAGAACGTCAAGGTTGTGGAAGCAGAACTGAGGGGAAAAAATAGAGAAGGTTAGAGTAGTGAGAGACCTTAGAGACTAGACTAAAGGAAGTCTAGTCTAACTCTCTTCCTTTACATAAGACAAAATTGAGGCTCAGAGAGGCTGAGATTTGCCGAAGAAGATAAAATACAAGGCAGAAGACCTATTTCCAAATTGACATTCATTCATCTGTGATAATGATAAGAGGGAAAAGTCTCTTATTAGTACAATATATTCTTACCTATCCCTTTCTGGATTGTGATAAGGGTCAAAAGAGAAACACAGAGAAAATTGATTTGTAATGTATAAAGGGCTTTTCATGTTGAACATTTACCCATTCTTTACTTTAATTCGGGTTAAACAGCTTCAGGAATCTAGCACTCCTACAAAGTCTCAAAATACCACCTAGATCCAAAAGCCGAAATTCAATTTCTAATTCTACTTTGCAATCCTTTCATTTTCTCTCAATAAAACTAAAATTACAATTCTGCCCCTACTTCTGCAGTCACATCAAGCATATGCTGACATTGGACTCAATCTAGTAAGTGCTTGATGAAGACCTACCATGTGTCAAACGTGGTTCATCTGTGGTGGAACAAATCTCTTTTAATAGATGACTCGCCATGACACAAAATCAGATGAACTGATGGTCAAATGCTAGCCTCTTGAACATCACTGTATTATACCTACTGATCTGTGCTGTCAGTTACCCAAAATTTTAACATGAGTGGATCTACTTACCTGTGCTCTACCCCAAGCCATTAGGATCAATTGTATATGAATCACAAATCACATACATTAACAAGACAGAAATTCAAAAAGGCAGTGAACATTTGGATGGAAAACCAAACCAGGAAAATGTGCCTCAGCATAAGCATGAATCTACAGATTTTTTTCATTGAAAAAAAAAAAATCTCAAAAAGCTAGAAGGAGCTAGGTGATCTTAGAAAACTTGCAAGGGAGGACTCCTGGGTGGCTCAGCCGGCTAAGCATCTGACTTCAGCTCAGGTCATGATCTCCCAGTTTGTGGATTTGAGCCCCACATCTGGCTCTGTGCTGACAGCTCAGAGCCTGGATTCTGCTTCAGATTCTGTGTCTCCCTCTCCCCCTGCCGCTCCCCCCCCCCCCACATACTCTGTCTCTCTTTATCTCAAAAATAAATGAAAACGTTTGAAAAAAAAGAAAACTTGCAAGGGATGGAGGGAAATTAAATGTATACCCTTGTTGTTCCATTTTATATACTTTTTAATGTTTTCTTTATTTCTGAGAGAGACAGTGTGAGCAGGGGAGGGTTAGAGAGAGAGGGAGACACAGAATCTGAAACAGGCTCCAGGCTCTGAGCTGTCAGCACAGAACCTGACGCGGGGCTCGAACCCAAGAACCGTGAGATCATGACCCAAGCCGAAGTCGGACACTTAACCAAGTGAGCCACCCAGGCGCCCCCACCCCCACTTTGTTACATTTTAAATATGTTATATGATAGAGTCCAAAACACAAGTGTCTGTAGGAGCCAAACACAGAACACAGGAGCTCCTCACCTGTGTGAAGCATTAGTGAGTAGAAGGCACAGAGTAAACTGTGAGAAGACTGTATGCATTGTTTTGTCGAGAATACTGTGGGAACCCAAGAAAACACGTCCGTGGGCAATAGCTGATTTGGAGGCTGTGAGTATGTCCAACCTGCAAAATATCACTGATAGGCTCTTTGTTTAAATGTGTTTAATGGGTATGCATATGTATTATACATAATATGTTCCATATTACATAAAATATACATATAGCGTATGTATTTTATATTTTATAATTAAAATATAAATTTATATGTTTTGATTTATGAAGGCTTTCATAGGTTTATGCCATATGTCCCACAAGCTATTAAATCCTCAGCGCCTCTCATATTCTACTGTTCTCATTCTACAAATAGTTGCTGAGCACTCCCACACACCAAGTGCTAGTCTAGATAGGCTCGAGGGTTTTCAGGCCTATGACCCTAGAAGTTTTAGGGACAGTGGTGCCATGTGGCCTCACCCAAATCCTGGCATTGTATAGTCAGCTCCAAACGCAAGTGTGTGTTCTCTCCCCATCACCAGCATTAGCATAAACCCCTCAAAAGTTTGGGACATAGGGGCGCCTGGGTGGCTTAGTCGGTTAGGCGTCTGACTTTCGCTTAGGTCATGATCTCGCGGCTCGTGGGTTCGAGCCCCGCGTCGGGCTCTGTGCTGACTGCCAGCTCAGAGCCTGGAGCCTGTTTCAGAGTCTGTGACTCCCTCTCTCTCTCTCTGACCCTCCCCTGCTCACGCTGTCTCTCTGTCTCTCCTAGAAATAAATAAAAAATATTAAAAAAAAAAAAAGTTTGGGACATAGAAGTTCAGGGCCAGTGGTATTCAGGGTGCGTGGGATAGGGACCTAAAGACCAAGAGCAGGTTGGAGACCTATGGGCCACTCTGCTCCCTCCACTCTGCAATCTCAATGCTGAACTCACAGACCTGTGGACGGCCCCGGAGCACCTCCGCCAAGCCAGCATCTCCCAGAAAGGAGACGTGTACAGCTACGGCATCATCGCCCAGGAGATCATCTTGCGGCGGGAAACCTTCTACACACTGAGCTGCCGGGACCAGAATGGTAAGAGTCGGGCTCGTCCATCTGCCCTTTCTGGGAGCCTGCATTCTAGGCTGACCAAGACCCTCCTCTCTTTGTGACCACAGCTTGGTCCCCTCAAACGCGAAAGTAATGGCGCGTCTGCACTGCGCGTCACACAGGGGTACTGGAGGTGTGACAGTATGAATGTTGGAATGCTCCAGGTGTCCTTACCTTCAGTATTATTGTCAGTTGAAGACTCTTCCCTTACAATCCCCCCTTCCCTTCTGATTGTAATAAAAGACATGCATCTGTTTAACACCTGAGCTAGATCACTCTAGTGGGACAACATACTTATTTTAGTTGTTACTGAGAGAAGATCTATAGTTTTTGTCACAGGTCTTCTTAGGGGGGAAATGCTTCCTCCCATTCATCCAGTCCTTGCTTACTGAGCAATTATTATGTCCCAGGTCTTAAGTGTCTGGAAGGTGGGTATCTAAGGGATGTAGGGAGGGCAGGCTCGAGTCTTGGAGGAAACCTACTAAAGGTAGTGGTATCCAAGTTAAAATTTAAAGGCTTAGTAGCCTTAACTTAAGCTAACCTCCTGGGTATAAGTGGGTATAAGACTCTCACCTGGTGGCTTATTCATTCTATTCAGTGCTGGCCTGGGTTCTGCCATTTTCTCACTGGGTACCACCCATCCAGGGTGGGTGAACCAATTCAGGAGTCTGGCTGCTGCTAAAATTGTTTCATGCTGTATTCTTTCTTGTAATCTGAATTATTCTCATCCGACCAGAGAAGATTTTCAGAGTAGAGAATTCCAATGGAGTAAAACCCTTCCGTCCAGATCTGTTCCTGGAAACGGCAGAGGAGAAAGAACTGGAAGTGAGTGCATCTCCCTACATGAGTTTTGTGTGTTGCTATAGCAAATTAACCAGCAACTTGGTGGATTGGAACAACAGAAATTTATGCCTTATAGTCCTGGGGGCCAGAAGTCGGAAATAAGTTATCATCAAGTCATGCTTCCTCCAGAGGCTCTAGGGGAGATTCCATTTCTTGCTTCTTCCGGAAGCTTCTGGTGGCTACTGACTCTCCTTGGCTTGTGGCCACAACACTTCAGTCTCTGCCTCCATATTCTCTGTCTATTCTCCCTCTACCTCCCTCCTGTATAAAGATTCACGTGACTACACTGGGCCTACCAAAATACTCCACACTAATGTTCCCATTGCAAGGTGCTTTACTGAATCACATCTGCACAAACGCCTTTTCCAAATAAGGTGACATTCACCAGTTCCAGGGGTCAGGACTCAGACATTCTCTTTGGAAACCGTCATCAACCCCCCAACTCAAGAAAGACCCGGCTCCTGATGCACGTATCACTTTCTCAATTTTTAGGAGCTAAACGATCAAGATGTTCACATGATATGCTTATTAGGCTTTTAAATGCTACCTGCTGATTAAAAAATGAATATGCCAAGATCTAGAAATAATAGAAAGGTATATAGTCATCCCCCCTTTTCCACGGGGGATAATTCCAAGATCCCCGGTGGAGGCCTGAAACTACAGAGAGCACTGAACCTTCTAGATACTAGGCTTTTTCCTAAACATACATGCCTTTGATAGAGTTTAATTTCTAAATTAGGCACAATAAGAGGTTGACAACAATAACTAATAGTAAAATAGAACAATTGTAATGGTATATTGTAATAGAAGTTATGAGAATGTGGTCTTTTTCTCAAAATATCCTGTTGTACTATACTCACCCTTGTAATGATGAGGGATAATAAAGTGCTCACATGATGAGATGAAGTGAGGTGAATAACGCAGGCACAGGCCTTTGGGACATTTCCCTAGGTTACTATAGACCTTCTGATGATTTCTCAGCAGTAGAACCATTTGATTCCAGACCATGGTTGACTCAGACAGGGAAGGGCCACTAGGAATCAGAGTTTCCTGGGGTGGAGCGTGAGCCCAAGAACGTGGAAACCTTTCCGGGTGATTCCACTGGTTGCGGTGCTTGGAAGCCCTTGCAGAAGGAATTCACAGTAGCGTCACTGCCTCACACCCACTGCTCGCAAACCCTGCAAACTTCTGTAAAGCATTTTCTCTCCACAATCCAGCCCCATCCAAATCCATAGCGCATTTTTCATTAATTTAGGGCCCAGGGGATGGGTGAGACAAGGTGGTGTGGACAGACTGAGAGGAACTGGGCAACTCAGCCTCCTTGTCAGAGTTGAGATGTTTCAAAAATACACCCTACCTCAGGGCACTTGGGTGGCTCAGTTGGCTAAGCAGCCTACTCTTGGTTTCAGACCTGCGTGGGGCTCCTAACTGACAGTGTAGAGCCTGCTTCAGATTCTCTCCCCCCCCCACCTCTCTGCCCCCCACCTTGGACTCTCTTTCTCTCTCTCTCTAAGGAAATAAACTTTAAAAAAATATTCCCTGCCTCAATTACTCCCATCAAGGGAAGAGAATAGGAATTCCACCCCCTGAGCAAATCTACCCTTCTTTCTTTCAGGTCTATCTACTTGTAAAAAACTGCTGGGAGGAAGATCCAGAGAAGAGACCAGATTTCAAGAAAATTGAGTCTACGCTGGCCAAGATATTTGGGTATTGCTGAAATTTTTACTTTTCCTTGCTTATTTCAAATTTTTCTAATAACAGTTGACCTTCAGCGGCACCTCAGAATGGAACGCCTGTTCTAATGGAAAACCCCAGACTGCAACCCCTGTCTCAAAACAATTAAAATGAGGTGGAGACCAACAGACCATTTTCTCAGGGAATAATCACTTGAAAAGCTAAATACTCAAGGGCAAAATTTGCCCGATTAAAATATAAATTCTGGTTGATCATAAATACGTCTGTGAAAAATCTAGTTGCCTGACCCTTCTGGAGGTAATTAGGATTTAGAAGTCTAGCGTGAGTCCTGAGAATCTGCAAAGCCACTAGATCATTCTTAACATCAAGAGGTTCTTAAAATCTTAAACTCGCAACTTTGGCCCTAGGTGCTTAAGACTTGTGCCATGAATGAGATTATAATTCAAGGTCCAAAACAAAAACAAAAACAAAAACAAAAACAAAAACAACAAAAAACCCAAAAGCACACGCTTATCCGGTAAGGTTGAATTCTAGATTTTCCATGTTTTCGGTTAGATATAGTACAGAGTAAGGAAAATAACAATGGCGAGATTAGGAGATCCAGCTCCCAGACTAGGATCTAGTAATATCTTACTGTAGGGCATTGGGCAAAATGCTTACCCTAACTGGATGCCAATTTTCTTTTTATAAAAGTAAAACCAGACTTGAATAGGATGATTTCTGCAATTTCTTCCGGCTCTAGTTTTCCATACTTCTCACTAAGTCAAAGATTCAGATACTTAATGGGTCTCAAAGGCCAGGGCTGAGATGAGGTCAAGTGAAATCATGAAAGTGGTCATTGAAGGGTGCATCTAATCTGTCATTTGTGTGAAAGGAGCAGAAAATAATAGATGATGTAATTCTTTCCCATTTTTTATTCTTTCCCAGATCTTTTACTAAGATCAGATGAGACAGTATGTGTGACAAATAAGATGTAAACTCATGAAGATAAACTGGGCCCCCTGATACATAGTCTTTAATAGGGTGGTTTTCAAACTTGGCTGCCCATTGAGATCACATGGGGGGGGGGGAGTGGGGCGGGAATGTTAAAAAAAAAAACAAAACCCAACAACAACAGTGCCTGAGTTCTGCCCCAGAGAGTCCAATGTAATTGGCCTGGAGTGCAGGCTGGCATCAGGAGTTTTAACAGCTCCCTGGGTGATTAAAATAGGCAGTCAGGATTGAGAAAACTGTTTTAATTGAATCAAGTCATCACGAAGGGAGATAATCTATCTTCATTCCTTACACCTGCTCCCTAATGCAACTAGACTCTATACTAGTGGCTTCAAGGAGCCCCCCCCACCCCCACCCCGCCCCCTACCCCGGGGAACTTGTTAAAGAATACTGTTTCGTAATCCCAGACCTAGCGGTTTCCAGTTATGCAGGTCTGCGGTAGACTCAGAAATGGATTGAAATTTTAACAAACATCCCTCCCCACCCCAGGGGATTATGATGGAGGCCATCTCCTCCTTGAGAGCAGAAATGGTAACTTAAATTGTTGTTGTAATAATGAAACAGGAGGGTTTATTCAACCCTTTCAATGGCTGAACCACCTTACAGTGTACCTCCTGACTGAGCTCTGCACCAAGGCTCCCAGTGCGTTCCAGTGTCACAGCAAGCTGGCATCTTGTCTAAGTGTCCTTGGCCTAACAAGATCATCCAGAGTTAGGATTTTTGCTTTAGGACCCAGGTTTTCTTTTTTCTTTTTTTAAAAATTTGTTTAGTGTTTATTTATTTATGGGGGAGGGGGAAGGGGCAGAGGAGACAGAGAATCAGAAGCAGGCTTCAGGCTCTGAGCTGTCAGCATAGTGCCTGACTCAGGGCTCGAAACCACAAACCGTGAAATATGACTTGAGCTGAAGTCAGACTCTTAACTGACTGAGCCAGCCAGGTGCCCCTTTCTTTTTCTTTAAATTTTGTAAAATGTTATTTATTTTTGAGAGAGGGACAGAGAGACAGAGCATGAGAGGGGTAGCAGAAGAGGGAGACACAGAATATGAAGCAGAGGACCCAGGCTTTCTGTTCTACGGAGATAATAGAAGGCTCAGCTTTGCTTTTCTTGGTCCTTCTGTATTTATCACTGTATTTATCACTTCTAGAGCCTTAAAAAAAGATTCTCCCTTTATCATAAATCGTTATTAAAATTTTAGAAAATAGGAATAAGCAAACAAGGGTAAAACATCACCTATTTCTCAATAGAGGGCTACTGGTTTTCAAAAATTAAAAATTATAATTTATGCTGTTTTATCAACTTTTTTACTTAATATAGAGGGTAATTTCTGTATTCTAATTTGTATTTAACAATACATTAATATTCTACTGTATCATAATATTTTAAATTGCATTTTGTTACTCAGTTGGGTTATTTTCAAGTGTTGCTAATATAAACACTATAATCTGTGCCTTGTTTTGTAGTTACTTTTCAGCACTTTACCTGCAGATAGTTCCTAAAAGTAGTGCTGGCGGACTGATCAGTGTTATGTACTTTCAAAGCTTCTGACACGTTTTGCCAGACTGCCCTCAAGGAAGGTCGTAGTGGAACTTTTTCCTCCTTACCTCCATTGACCACCATTTTTCTAACCTTTGGCTTTATTTTTACAAAATGTTATGTCTATTTCTAGGAGCGCCAGGGTGGCTCAGTCGGTTAAGCCATCAACTCTAGGTTTCGGCTCAGGTCATGGATCTCACGGTTTGTGAGATAGAGTCCTGCGTCTGGCTCCTGGTTGACAGTACGGAGCCTACTTGGGATTCTCAATCTCTCTCTCTCTCTCTCTCTCTCTCTCTCTCTCTCAAAATAAGTAAATAAATTTGAAAAAAACCTTATGTCTATTTCTATTTCTTTAATTTTTCCTGAGGCTATTTTTTTTAACGTATGTTGGCCATTTTTATTTTGTTCTTTGTCATATTGACTTTTTAATCATATTTGTCCACTAGTTTACTGGATGTTTGTGCTTTTTTAATAATTTGCAACCACTCTTTTTTACTACCTACAGCCTATTTCATGATGAAAAAAATGAAACTTATATGGACACCTTGATCCGACGTCTACAGCTGTATTCTCGAAACCTGGAACATTTGGTGGAGGAAAGGACGCAGCTGTACAAGGCAGAGAGGGACAGAGCTGACAGACTTAACTTTATGTTGCTCCCACGGTGAGGAAAGTTCTCATGATGGCACAGCCACGCCTTCTTCCCTATAGCTGAAAGTGTCAGCATTTTCATCTAGTATTGTTTTGTTCCCTTTGTATCTATATAGGGAACATTCTTTTGCACGGTCTTCAACAGATTATTGAGTTAAAAAAAATACACATACTTTGCCAAGGCTTGTTCTGGTTTATACTCAAAATATCGAAAAGAAAAAGATTATTTTCTTTTTAAATTAAAAAAATTGTTTAACATTTATTCATTTTTGAGAAGCAGAACATGAGCAGGGGAGGGGCAGAGAGAGAGGGAGACACAGAATCTGAAGCAGGCTCCAGGCTCTGAGCTGTCAGCACAGAGCCCAACGCGGGGCTCGAACCCACGAACCCGTGAGATCATGACCTGAGCTGAAGTCGGACGCTCAACTGACCTAGCCACGCAGGCGCCCTGAAAACAGTTATTTTCAATGGGCTGTGTGTTGCCCCAGAAGGAGCATGGGTAGTGGAGTTGGAGAGGCCAGGGTTCTGATACCTCTTTGCCACTTTTACTAAGTCTGAGAGCTGTGGCAGGTCACTGCCTGCCTCTTTTTAATCTCAAAATGGAAATTAAAACCGTCCTCTGGACTCTATGAGCTATAAGGCACTAAGTGTCCATTTCTTTTCTTCTTTTCACCTCAAAGTAGAAGCCAGGTTACAAGGAGCAGGAGCAGACATTAGTGAAGGAGGTGGGAGCCGCAGATCAGATGCCTCCTCACAGAGGCAACTATGGGCTGACCTCTATTTTGTGAAACAGTATCACAGCCATGACATAAGAGAAAGGAAGTAAGGTTGAAATCCCTGCACAGTTTAAAGTTTTGTGAGTGTTGGTACTCATAATAACTAAGGAAGGTTAAGAGAAGCAAGAAATTAAAGTGTGGAGCTAGAAAACAGACTAGACTTGGGCCAAGGCGCCCTTAACTGTCACAAGTGAGCAGTAACGTTCTCTTCTCATTCAAGTACAATAACCTGTTCTGTTAGAGGACGCCCAAGCTAGACAGTCCAGCAGTGGGTGAAATCGTGGAAGCCGAGGTCGGCTAGGCCTGAATTCCACCCACGTTCCCACCACCCACTACCAATGTACAATTACCTACGTGATCCAAACCTCAGTTTCTTATGTACCTCACAGACTGGCCCTAAGAATTTCCTGAAATAATGCTCAGGATATAAGGTACTTACCACAGAGTCTGGAATGTCTATGGTTATTATTATCATATGCAATAGCTATGACTTTTATATGTAACTTGTGTTCATTATAGTTTCATTTTGAACCCATGCTTAATTTAGACAATCAGCTCTACATTAGTAAAAGGATGATTTTGGGATTGTATGAGCTGTTTCCTCAATAAAGCAACAGTTTCTTTTTGACAAACCTGAGCGACAAGCCGAGGAGTTACAAACACGCTCTGTTCAGTCATCTGTGCCTGAAGGTGCCTACTGCAGGATCTATGTCCCCAGAATGCCAAGGAACAGCCTGGGAACGGCGCCCTGGAAATAGGCTGCAGCCCTTAATATTCCCATCAGAGATGGCAATTTCTATCAGAGCTTCACAAATGCTAGGTGTAAGGTGCAGGCCTTGCCTGGCCTTTGGTGCTGAGTTGTAACAAAAACAACATCCAGATAATCTGGCTGCCTTTCCCAGGGCGTCATCACCCATGGTTTTAACCAATACAGTTACTCAAATGCTTTGAAACAGCTGGCTCACCACCTCAGACTTTTATCTTACCTTTGCTGTAATGAGCCACGTCGATCACTAGATGGTAGATCTTTGGTTTGTTTTGAGTATAGTTGACATACAGTGTCACATTAGTGGCAGGAGTACAACAGAGTGATATGAGATTCTGTGTATTGCTCCGTGCTCACAGCCATAAGCAAAGTCACCATCTGTCACCATACAACGTTATTACTACAGTAGGATTGACTATATTCCCTATGCTCTACTTTTCATCTCCGTGGGTAGATGTTTTCTTGGATTACCACGGGTTATATAACACAAATCTCTTCAATAGCTGCAATACACCATGACTCCAGTGCAACTGTCTGATAATTTATGTACAAATATATTTGTAAAAGAAAATTAAAATGTACATGAACAATAACTAGACGAATCAAAAAGAAATATTTACAGCAAAATTGTCAATAAGCTAAGGCTGTATGTAGGAACCAGATTCTACTTAGCTGTTTAGTTAAACAGTGCCTCTTGGGTTTTGAAACATTAAAATACAAGTTCTTTCTTCTTGTGGGAAGCCTTTCTAAGACATTTACTGTGTTTGCTAATCTGTGTCAGCAGCAGCCTGTTACCAAAGCTCGCCGTGTTAAGTCACAGCTCTTTGTTTATCTACCAACATTAGTTCCTCTCTCTGCATACTATTTCCCACGTTCATATGACTTTTCAGATATAAGCAGTAACATGAAGGGCAAAGATGGTGAAATATCCAATTTTATCATTACGTTCATGTATTTTTCAAAAAATGTGCACCGCTCTACTGGGCATGTCAAGAGACACCACCCCGGAACTGCCCCCTGATACTCCAACCAGCCACACCGAAGGGGTATTTCTCAAAGGTCCCAGGCTTTGTCGTTGCACTAATTGAAAAAAATTCCCTCAATGCTCTGGAGGTTCTCAAAATGAACGTTGAGTGTCCTTGCGGTTAATGAACTTCTTCTGGGGGAATTCTTTCGACACAATTGGCATACCTGCAGATGGTCCCCATCTCCATGAATATCCAAGGTGTGGGTCGTGGAGGAGATGCCGTGTGATAAAAAGACTGAAAGGTGGGATGTTGCTGAGTTCTAGGACGGGTTCTGCCCTTAGTGGCCGTGGGACCTTGTGAAAGTCATACTTTTTAGGCCTTAGGGTTCTCAATGACCTCTATGGCACCTCCTAGTGGCCACGTTGTGATTCTAAGGGTTCCACACTTGAGTCCTTTACAGAGCCATCCCAAGGGCAGACAGGGAGCACCCAGCCTCATGACGGTCCCACTCCATTTTCTCAGTGAAAAGTCAACTTGGCACATCAAGGAAGTGTGGTGTGCAGTTCCTTCTTATGGGTCTGTCTTAATTCTGAGTCTGATATACTATTCCTTTGATCTCTGCAACAGAGATATTCCAAGTTGCTTTTATTTGACTTCTGCAGTTTGGCGGTAATTTTAATGTGTTTCTATGGTGACTGATTTTGCTTTTTAAAGGACCCAAAAATATATCAAATAAACTCTTGTTCAGAATATACCAAAGTTAATTTTAAGTGCATTGTTCCTTTATAGTGATATTAAACAACATCATGTTAAATATGCTTGGGATGCAAAACCCTTGGCTCTGATGAAAAGCCAGGTCTGACAGCTGTAGTGATTTAAGCTCTTACATTTATGATGCTCTCCCTTCAGCTTCTGGATGTAGAGCTACATCTAGAAGAAGCTGACTGTCAATAAAGTGGTAAAAAGTGAGCAAGTATGTATGCATATGAGGGTTATGTAGGTACTAGAGTTATATGTGCATGCATATTAGGGTTAATAATCAAGTACTAAGTTAATGCTGAACTTGCATATATACATCTGTGTTCAAATACATGTGTCATATGTGTTTGTGTGTATTCTACTCCTGTATTCAGGATGTGCAATCTATTTTTGCTTCCTACTCACCCCTTTCAGTGGAAATCCCAAATTCTGGAATGCCTTATGAACAATTACTACTGTATCAAAAAATTTATATAAGAAAAAAAATTACTGAAGTTGAAGACATTTTTTCCCTTCCTCATCTAGGCTGGTGGTCAAGTCTCTGAAGGAGAAAGGCATTGTGGAGCCTGAACTGTATGAGGAAGTTACAATCTACTTCAGTGACATTGTAGGTTTTACCACCATCTGCAAATACAGCACCCCCATGGAAGTGGTGGACATGCTCAATGACATCTATAAGAGTTTTGACCACATTCTTGATCACCACGATGTGTACAAGGTAACTACTTCACCCCCGAGGCTGAAATGATTGTACTGCCCATGTTAGCAGAGCCAGCGTTGGTTGGTTCAGCTCTCGTCCTCTCTAAGATTTAATGAATTCGTGGTTGAACACAAGCTAAAAATGAAGGGAAGTGAAAGAATAAGAAGGGTCAGAAGTCAAAATGCCCACAGGATTTTCAGAAGCACTATGAAGGAAACAACATAAAGTTCATCAGGAATGAATTTTGGCCACTAAATTTAGTACTCTCAAATCAACTTTTAAAAAAATGGACAGTGTTTAGACTGATTGCACATGAAGCAGAGAAAACACTGGAGTTACATAACAAGTAGATTAGTAATATGTTGTTGTTATTGTTGTTGTTGTTGAAAGAATTAAGCATCATTCAAAGAAAACTAAAGAAAAATAGGGAGAACACTCTGTAAGTTCAGAACTGGATCTGTTACCTGACTAGTGGGCTGACCAGTTTCGGGCTAATACTACCTGAGTCAGAAAACAACAATTGAATCCTCCCGTTTTCATGTTGGAAAAATAGCAGAGCATATGGAGCAAATAACTTTAGAAACAGAGAGCTCTTCATTCAAATCCCACTTGGCCCTACCTACCTGTGACCTCATAAAATACATTTAACTTTACCAATCTATAAAACGGGATGATAGTAACACCTAACTCAGTGGGTTATTGTGAAGACTATTGACATAAACCATATACCTGAAATACTGTATCCTCAAGTAAAGTTTAAAGGTCACTCATGTGACAGTCTGTCATAATGGTTATTACCCACAGAGAGGGTGTCCCTTTTAGGGTTTGTCTTAGCCCCATCTTCACCCATAAAGCCATAGTAACAACAGCTCTTGTTGGACAAAAAATGGTTATTCTTGTAGAGATGGTTGGCAAAGAGAAGTTGACTGGTCAACAAATGTGAACTATATGACCGTGAAAATAAAAAGAGAAGTCATTTACAAAGAATATTGTTTATAGGATGCTCTTGATACAAATTTATTTACTACAAGAAGAGTGTTTAGAATCGCCACACTATAAGAATGTGCTTTACATCTTCAAGGAACCTACAATTATTTTTTTTTTTTGGTCAAATAGGATATGAAAAATAAAATGTTAAAGGCTAAAGGTGACTTTTCTGGTAATTAAAGGCTATGTGCCACCATTCAGACTATAATGTAAACATTATAGACTTGTTAGTACATCTAAATGATTTATGTTATTATAAAGTACTCTCACATGATCAAAATTATTTATCGTTCATTTAACTAGACTATAAAACTGTGAAGAAATTTGCATAGATCTGGTCTTGAACTAGTCCCAGAAAAAAGCATACAGGGTTATGCTCGGACTGGGTTCTCAAAAGCTTTTGTTTTGATATGCAATCAACTACTTGTTTTTAATATCTTGTGCCTTTGGAAGGGTTAGAATCACTAATGAGAAATTTTTTCCATAGGTGGAAACCATTGGTGATGCCTACATGGTGGCCAGTGGTTTGCCTAAGAGGAATGGCAATAGACATGCAATAGATATTGCCAAGATGGCCTTGGATATCCTCAGCTTCATGGGGACCTTTGAACTGGAGCATCTTCCTGGTCTCCCAATATGGATTCGCATTGGCATTCATTCTGGTATGGAGTTAAGCATTGTAGCAAATGGGAACCATACGAACTTCTGTGCACCAACTAAACAAGAAAGGATAAAGGGTCTTCTGATGTGATTGATTTTCCCCTGAAGTTTACTCTTGAATCTGTCTGCCAATTGCAATGCAATGTCTGACATCCCATTACATATCCTGACATAATGAGACAGTCCTTCAAGAGTTCTAGGAGACGGCACCTTTTATAGCACCTTTGACTCCTGGAATGCTAAATGCCAACCACAGACTGAAATAACAGCCTCCAGACTTCTTCCTATTTAAGTCCCCATATTTATTATTTATTTCCTCCCCATTCCCTCCCTTTCCCCTGCCCCCAACTTCTGCATAGTCTTTTCCACTAAACTATTATAGTATCTTTCATGGATTAGATTATCTACAGGGAAAAAATAGCTGGTAAAATTCCTATAGTGGAAGGCATTTATGTCCTTCCCATCCCCCTCGGTAGTACCAAAAGTACATGGATCACTTCAACGGTTGTAAAAGATACTTAGCCTGGAATGTAGAGATTTGAGAACATGAGTTACAAACTAGGAAAATCTAGTTGGAGAGAACTTAGAAGTCATCTGGATTAATCCTTTATAGGGCACAAATTATCTTTATAGGTTCCAAGACAAGTAATAATACAGCTACTTTTAGAATAATCCCAGGATTCCCTGAAAACTCAGTTTCCAAAGCCAACTCACTCCATCATCCAATAGTTATAATGATTAAACACTCTTTCCTTGTGTTAAATCACACCTCCCTATACTTTCTTGCCATTGCTTTTTTCTGCCCTTCAAGGTTCACAGAGGACTCAAAATACAGAAAACCCAAGATCACTCCAGACTTTGTGGCAAGAACCAGGCCACTGCATTTGTAATTGTCATCCTGTACCCACAGTGCCTAGCACAGAGCCTGGCAATAAATATTTCTTGATTTAGTAGTGAGCCAGTGAGATTCTCAAAGTAACAGTAAATAGAAGGTAAAAATTTCTACCACGTTCACTCTTCCCCAATCATGTCCACAGCCATATATCATGGATGTTTCCATGTACATATGAGGGACCTTCTCATGTACCAGCAGTAGCGTGAGGTCCCTTTTCTGACCCATCACAATTGCCAGGCCTGAGGGACAGCAGGAGGGCTGCCTGATCCAAGTCAAGGAGGCCGGAGCCCTGGTTCCTAGCCATCTCTTTTCCCGTGACCAACCCAATACCTGCGCTGAGCGCCAGGGCCCATGTGCCCCCACATTGGGCTGGAACGAGAATAGATAATAGGCACACATACCTGGAGAGGTTTAGCCCTAAGAAACTAAGAGGTTGCAGTTAAATACTGATAGTTGAAAACAAGACTTAACATCTGCAGGAATTTTCTGCTACCAGGTCCCTCCCGAGCTTTATCTACTCCATTTCTGAAGTGAGAGTATGCTGTAATTAGACCTGGCACAACTAAGGCACAGATCAGAGATCTTCTGACCACACTGCAGCTACTATTACTCCCTCCCTTCCGTAGGTTGTTCTGTTTTTGTGTGGTTTTGTTTGTTTTTCAGTTGGTTATTTTGTTTTGCATTGAAGCTAACAAGGAAGGGCTCGGCCCTCAAAGGAAGATCCAGTATTTTTATTCTTTCTCAATGTTTGTGATCAGAGAATTTGTAGGATAAATCTACAAAGGAACTCATACAGATCAAAACCCAATAAGCCAACTGAAAAATCAATAGCTACCTTTATCCAGAAATCCAGCTTTGCAGTTTCTGGGTTCGTCTTGAACTTCTAAAATGTGTCACTCCTTGCATTCAGTCATTCCACACAAATGCTTGGTTAACAACCCTTCTTCCCCGCCTACGTCTGCTGTGCCCAGTCTTGCCTTGGTTTCTGTATTCTTGTTAGAATGCCACAGCCCTCCCCACCCCCATCCCGCTGCATTTCACATGATGCGTGAAGTGCTCAGGGATGATTATGCCAAGTCCTTGTCTTCCGAGCTCTCCGTCATTGGGTCACCAGGCCAGGGGATGCTCCTCTGAGTAAATTAAAATAAAATAAAACCAAGTTTGGCCATTGAGCCTTCCAGTGTACCCAGCCCTCCAGCACTTCGGAGCTCAGGAAAGTGTGGTGTGGGAGTCTTCATTCTTCCTGAGAGCCTTCTATTGAAAATATTAAAAAGGACTTCCTACCTTTGCCGCCTGGACCTCCGGATGTCTTCTTGTTTGGTCTTGCCTGGGCCTCTGGATATCTTCTTGTTCTGTACTTTTCTGTGCGAGAGCAAGACACTTTCTGGAATCTTGTCACAACGATGTTTTCCTCAATGAATATGTCCATTTACAACAAAAGCCGCAGCTCCCTTTTCACACTGGCAGCCACTTCTATGTGAAACGAAGGATTCAGTCAGCACTGTGACCCTGAGAAGAGGTTTGCCCACCTTAACTCCGCACTGTGATTTCTGCCGCCCCCACTTCCTGCTTTCTGTGCATTTCAGGTCCCTGTGCTGCTGGAGTTGTGGGAATCAAGATGCCTCGCTATTGCCTATTTGGAGATACCGTCAACACAGCCTCTAGGATGGAATCCACTGGCCTCCGTAAGAAAGAGGATTGCTTTTCTTAGAGGAAGGCTGTGTCTCCTAGCAGAGGGGAATTACAAAATAACCCGCACAATAAGGAGATACAAAGTGCCAGTGAGACGAAGGAATGACCTTTCACATTGACCGGATGTGAGCCTGTGTCAATGCAGTCCTTGCTGCATTTGCCTTTGTGTTACCATTTACTGAGGATTCTTGTATTCTCCCCCCGACCTTTTTTTTTTTTTTAGCTCCATCTAGACTATTTCGCTAGTGTGGGTTCATTTGCAGTGCATTTGGGCGTGCTCTGCTTGGAACAGTTATGAAAGTTAGCACGGATCCACCCAAGTTAAAAAAAAATTCAGTGAGCTAGATAGGGAGCATACACTGATTCACTTTCTTTCTTTCTTTCTTTTTTTTATTATTTTTTATGTTTTTTACTTATTTCTGAGAGAGAGAGTGAGAGAGAGACAGCATGAACAGGGGAGGGTCAGAGAGAGTGGGAGATACAGAATCTGAAGCAGGCTCCAGGCTCTGAGCTAGCTGTCAGCACAGAGCCCGACGCAGGGCTCGAACCCACAAACCACGAGGTTTTGACCCGAGCCGAAGTCAGACGCTTAACCGACAGCCACCCAGGCACCCCACTGGTTCACTTTCCTATTCCTATTTTGTTTTCCTGAGAATGGTTTTAATAAAGAAAAACATAAGTATTTATTTATTTTTAGTTATTAAAAAAAAAACTTTTTTTCATGTTTATTATTTTTGAGAGAGAGAGAGAAAAAACAGAATGTAAGTGGGGGAGGGTCAGAGAGAGAGAGGGGAAGACACAGAATCCGAAGCAGGCTCTAGGCTCTGAATGTCAGCACAGAACGCAAGCAGGGCTTGAACTCACAAACCATGAGATCATGACCTGGCCCAAAGTCGGATGCTTAGCTGACTGAGCCATCCAGGTGCCCCGAATATAAGTATTTATTATATGCCAAAGCCTATATTTCATCTGCCTGGTGAGCTACATGTAGTAGATGCTCAATAAATATTGGTGACAGTGATAGTAATGGAAGTATATACAAGAGAGAAAGAGAGGCACCTGGGTGGCTCAGTTGGTTACTCATCGACTTTGGCTTAGGTCACAATCTCACGGTTCATGGGTTCAGCCCCGTGTCGGGCTCTGTGCTGACAGCTCAGAGCCTGGAGCCTGCTTCGGATTCTGTGTCTCCCTCTCTCTCTGCCCCTCCCCTGCTTGCACTCTGTCTCTCTCAAAAATAAGTAAATTTATAAAAAATAAAATTTCAAAAAAGAAAGAAAGCTTTGATCGGCACAGGTGGGGCTTACAAAAACACAGGTGATAGAGTGGTATTTTGGCACTCCACCCATACCCCGCTACTGCTTTGTACTAGAAAATCTTGTGTAAAAAGGAAAGAATAAGATTGGGACCAGACAGATTTGGTTACAGTTATAAGGACACAAGTCACTATCTGTGTGAGCTGGGCAGGAATCTACTCATCTTTCTAGGCATCAGAAGGTTGAAGAAATACATTGGGATGGATAATAGTACCTCCAAAGAGTAAAACTTAAGAAAATCATGACCCTCCAGCTCCCTCCTGAATCTCTAACTTGCTGCCCACACTTTAGCTGCTTATTGGAACTTCCACACAGGGACCCAAACTCAAATCCCAGCTGCCAAGTTCAGTACTACAAGCTAAATCCAAGACAAGGTGCAGGGGCTACCGCTCTGAGCTAGAGTGAGAACTTGTGGAGCACAGCCTGATAAGCAGTGCCAGGCCCTTTCATCCCATGTGTGATGATACTTATCTCACTGATTGTACTTTTAAGCGCTCTTTGACTAAACTCTCTTAGCCGTCTAGAACATCTTCAACAGAGGTCCTGAAATAAGTGGAAGCAAATGTGTTTGTGTAATAGCCTTCAAAATGGTTGAGGTTTTCATTGATCTATTTTGCATTTCTAGCCTTGAGAATTCACGTGAGCGGCTCCACAATAGCCATCCTGAAGAGAACTGAATGCCAGTTCCTGTACGAAGTGAGAGGCGAAACATACTTAAAGGTAAGAGATCCACAGAAGACCCAGAAAAAGCACTCACCCTGTGGGCCACCTCCTTGGAGAATGGACACCCAAGGGTCAATAATGTCAAGGAGCATGAAGATGAAGAATGCTTTTTTGCACTCCCCACAGTGATCGCCCATTATCCCCTGTAGGAGAAGCTGCCACCAAAGAACGTGAACTCAGAACCCTTTAAATATTTTGAACCAGGGCCAATATGTCATAAAATGCCACCTCCATTTCTTCCGCATACATCCAAGTTTTGTCTCCAAGTCCTACTGCAAAGCTGAGAGCTAAGGTGTGGGGCGGGACTTATTTAAGTCAAAGTCCCGTCTCCTCACTCGCTTCCATGCTTTCACTGCAAGAGACTGCCCCTCTCTAAAGCCTCCTCTCCAGGGATTGCTTTACCATTCTGAGGCTGTGGACCAGTGAATTGTCAGCTGTGGCCCCAGACTTCTGATTCAGTGTCATCTGGGTGCTTTCTAAAATGTAGATGCCAGGACTCTCCACCAGGCTTGCTGAGGAAGACCCTCTGTGGATATAGATCAGGACTCTCTATTCTTAACGAGCATGCTAAGTGATCGGGACGTACACCAGTTTGAAAACCACCACCAGTCTCCTCTCCATGACGCTCCTCACACTCAGAACGTCTACCCTCCAGAGCCACCAGATGTCTCCACTGGGCTCTCAGGCTGCTTTTCAAAGGTCATTAGACGCTCTTCACAATTGGTCTGAACCCAACTTCCAACTATAAAATGGTCTGTCTCCAGTAGCCACAGTGCTTCTGGCCTTTACACTGTGACTGCAACTTGGAAAAGCCTCCTTTTATGTAGATGTGCCCCAATATCATACTTGCTCTTATACTTTCTAAATAGAACATTCCTGCCCAAGTAGAAGCAGTGTCTGGATTACTACAGTCCAAACACAGCCGGCAAATTATGGTGTGAAAGATGAGTGATTTTTAATTTTTTTAATGTTTTTTTATTTTAGAGAGAGAGAGGGAGAGAGAGAGGGAGAAAGAGAATAAGAGCAGGGGAGGGGCAGAAAGGGAGACAGAATCTGAAGCAGCCTCCAGGCTCTGAGCTATCAGCACAGAGTCCAGCGTAGGGCTTGAACCCATGAACTGTGACATCATGATCTGAGCCAAAGTAGGATGCGTAACCAACTGAGCCACCCAGGCGCCCCAAAGATGAGTCATTTTTAAGTCTATAACCACCCTGTCTCCTTTTCAAATACAAGCTCTAGCAAAAATGGGATTTCCAGTGAACCTCCATTCATTTTATAGCCTCCAGATGGGGCCAGCAAATGTCACTTAATAAGCATTTCTCAGGATGTACGTGTGTTTATAATTTACATGCTTAAGATGGGGAAACTGGCAAAGGTTTTGTGACAAGATCTTGTGGCAAAAAGGGCTAGAAGAAAACGTGGGTGATGAAAGCCAGTTGAATGTCTTGGCATGGCCGGATCGTACCTGAATTTCCCTCTTTTTAAATTTTGAGCTCTTATGATGTCGCTCTAATGCCATTTTGAAATGTCCTTGGGGGACAAAAGAGAACTCTTCTTTGCAAAAGACAAACACGCCTGGGGGCTGAGAGGCTTATTTTTTAAAAGGGACTTGGAAATGAAGATCCGTCTAGAGAGGGCGAGAATCCCGTCCGGAACGTGCGCTGTGCTGGAACGCAGACGGTGATAGGAAGCACGGAAGCGAGCGGTCCTTGGAAGCGGCCGCTTGCCAGAATGGTGGGCTGGAACTGACCCGTGTCCCTGGCGTTCCCGGCTCACGCCTCGCTTGTCTCCCCAGGGAAGAGGAACCGAGACTACGTACTGGCTGACCGGGGTGAAGGGCCGAGAGTACACCCTGCCAACGCCTCCCACTGTGTAAGCGGCCGGGGGCTGAGGAGGTGGGGAGGGGACAGGGGACCGGAGGTCTCGGCTTTCACAGCTGTGCCACCTACAACCCGTTTCACTGTGGGCAAGGGCTCTGACGGTGGCGGTGAGCTATTGAACAAGGGGCCGGGGACCGCACACGCGAGACGTTTAGAAACCTCCCTTCTCTGGCTGCCAGACCCGGGGTGTTCCAGGCATGCTCCGCGGAGGGCGGCTGACCGCTCGCCTCCTGCGTGACGGGCTTGGGCTCGAGGAGAGCGTGCCGGCCGCACACAGGCACCCGCGTCTCTACCGCCGCCACCGGCTCTCAGCCGGGCGGCTGGAACCGGGCCCTCCCCCACCCCGGGACGGCGGTTCTGCCTTTTCACGCGGGGCTTGTGTTCTCCCAGAGAGGAGGAAGACGGCGTTTCAGGTCTAACGAACAGGTGTCAGTTCCCTTAAAGATGACTCGGATGACCATCCCGTTGCACATCTCGCTGCCGCAGGCAGTTATCCGCTGTTCCTGTGGCTTTTGCTGTAGCACAGACCCGGGTAGATGGCAAGCCTGGAGAGAAGCCACAACACCCCCGGTCCTCCCTGGGCCACAGGTCCGTTCCGGCCCCTCGAAGCCCTCCCCAGACAAGAGCCACACTCCAGGACGTGTGGGACCGCGTCCCCAGGCTCGTGTTGCGGGGCCTTGCATCGCTGTGGCTTTTGTCCTCCCTGCGGTGGCTTGCGTCAACCCAACCGCACTTCCAGACCCAAGCAGCATGTTGTTTCACTTTGAAACTGAAATACGGTTTTCCTCTCGAAATGTATTCTGCTTTTTCTACAATTACACAGAGCAGGGATGGCAGCACTTTGCAGCTCGTCAAAAGCAGGGCTCATTCTGTGTCCTCTGGACTCCCAGCGTCGGGTGCAGAATAGGCATTCAGTCAGAATCCCGTAAAAGAAGCATTCTTGGTGGTAAACGGAACCGATTGTTCCGGGGCTACGGAGTGTTCTGTGTGAGTTGCTGAGAAGTGCCATTCTTTTTCTCCCCATTCTCTTTCCAGGGAGAATCAGCAGCGCTTGCAAGCCGACTTTTCCGACATGATTGCCAACTCTTTACAGAAAAGGCAGGCGGCAGGGATCAGAAGCCGAAAGCCAACGCGGGTGGCCAGCTACAAAAAAGGAACTTTGGAATACTTGCAGCTGAACACGACAGACAAGGAGAACACCCATTTTTAAACCGAAATGAAGTCCAAGGACTCAGCAAATTAAGTACAGCCTCGCTCGGGCAGTGGCCTCCAGTGTCCACGAAACCTAATGCAATAGAAGACTTAGATATACTCTGCTTCGCCCTGTCTGGAGCATAGACTTGCTTCTGTGAATCCGATGTGCGCTCTCAGTGCAAAAAATTACCTTTTACTCTGGAGTCTGATCTCAGCACTGGCTCGAGGGACCTTCCACCTGGGAAGAAAGAGGAATGGATGCACCGTATCTAAGTTGAAGAGACTGTGTTCTTACTTCATTTACTTCGTGTCCATTTTTGTTTTGTTTACTGACTCTTTTTCCTTCTGTATTCACGAGAGGAGTTTTTAAATTGTCACAACTGTGTTTTAAATGACTTTTCTCCATTAAATTATATTTAACTCATAATTTTTGCAGAATATATGCTGTTAGGCAGGAATAAAAGTTAAACATTGACTGAGTCTGTGAATGTGTTTCCACCTACTCCAGCTCTCTTCCTGAAATGCACCAGCCACCGTCTTGTGCTTGCTGAAAACCTGGCGAAGTTCCCCAGCACTGAAGTTGAGGCAAAGGCAGCGCTGCTGCTCAGGGCCAAGACCCTTGATGCTCAGTATCACCTGCTACACATCAGGGGATTTCACAGAACCTTCTACCACGGAAGCTGTCTCCGGTCTCAGACAAAGGTCAAATCGTATTTACCAGTAAATAACAAAGTACAGTAAAACCTGGGATGGCGAGTAACTCGTTCTGCGTGTGTTCCACAAGACGAGCAAACATTTCTAATAAATTTTAACTTGATAAACAAGCGATGTCTTGTGATATGAGTCGTATGCAACACCCAGTGTCACCTGATCACAACTGAGCTAATGGCTCTTCTGTCTCTCCCTGCAGGATTGTGGGTGATCATTCCCCATGCACGGGTGCTCAGTCTCAGGCTGCGGCGTTTGGCAGAAATCAGTGGCTTTTTCAAGAATGTTGAAGGTGTCCACAATTGGCACTAGTGTATTTTTTGTCGCTTCAAAACTTAGGAATGCTTTGCTTTATTCCAGGTCATTGGATGGGTTCCTTGTTAAAGTTACATGCAAAGAAAAGGATTCCATTGAGCCAATAGATAGCAGTGATTCCGTTACTGATTGTGAAAGTCGTCCTACACAATCACCTTGCTTATCTCCCTCACACCAGCCATGAAGGTTTTCAAAGGTAAGTACAGGTTAATTTCTTTAGGTTTCTTTACATTTTGTATTTTCTTTATTGTATTATATTACAGTATTGTAATTATTTTTATATGAATATTTTTGGGTTGTGGGATGACTCATCTTCAGTTTCCATTATTGCTTATGGGGAAATTCACTTTGATATACAAGTGCTTTGGATTACAAGCATGTTCCCAGAACAAATTATGCTCGCAAACCAAGGACTTACTGTACTTTAAACTCTGCAAATATCCCCTGCCTGTCGTCCCGCAGCCATCTTCTGCCCCCTTCTCAAGGCACCCCAGCATGACTCGTTTGCTTGAAATCCCAGGGGAAAAGACAAAAGACAGCTGGTGTTGAGTAGATTAGAATCAGCAAAGGCAACGCTCTACCACTTAACCTTCAGAAATCGGCCACATTACTCTTCTCCCAGCCTCCACCACAAAAACCTCTGGAGAGATCAGGAAACATGTTATATCTTCTCCACGACCTGGGAAAACATAAAGTCAAAGATAATACAATATATTATCTTCTGATTTATATATTTAGTATTTCATATGCAGCAAGAGTCTTTAACCTGGAATCTGGAGGTTCACAATTTGAGTCTCAGCACTCGACCTCATTGGCTTCACAATTACAAAGAAGTACGCTTATAAAGCAAGAATTCTCATACCTGCAAGATGGTTCATAAGGTTTGCCACCCATGAATTCTATGTGAGAAAAAGTACAAAAGGAAGTACTCTGTTAAACAGGAAAGAGATTCAAGAGGAATACAGGAAGCGCTAGAATCAATGTTTTTATACCTTTGATACATACTCCTCTTAAAACCTCCAAGACGTGACTTAAAAGTATTGAAGTCAGAATACAACTAACTCAACTAGCTATGTGTTTTGTCTGCTTAGTACCAGCTATCCAGTGTCAAAAAAGCAACTAAGATTTAAGTGAGAAGAGCAATTTTACCTTATTCTTCTTTTCTATAATCCCCTGAAAACAATGAACATAGCAAATTACAGAGGAGACAACAAAAGAAGCAAGAAGAGTTTAAACTTCAATTTCAATTAAAGATAAGTGATTTTAAAGTGTGTAACATCTAAATGCATACCTGTTCAAAAACTATCATCTGGAACTTCTTCCTCACCAATCTAGGTGTCTCTTCTTTCTTTCTGTTGTCTGGTTGCTGAGGCTAAGACTTCCGGTACCATGTTAAATAACAATGGTGAGAGTGGATGTCCCTGTTTTATTCCTGACCAAAGCCGAAAAGCTCTCAGCTTTTCCCCCACCAAGGATGGTATTAGCTGTGTGTCTTTCATATATGGCCTTCATGATGCTGAGGTATGTCCCCTCTATCCCTACTTTGTTGAGGGTTTTTATCAAGAATTAATGCTATAATTTGTCAAATGCCTTTTCTGCATCTATTGACAGGATCGTATGGTTCTTACCCTTTCCTTTATTAACGTGGTATATCACATTGTTTGATTTCCAGACATTGAACCAGGGCTCTGCAGCCCAGGAATAAATCCCACTTGACGGTGGTGTATAATTCTCTTAATATACTGTTGATTGGATTTGATAATATCTTGTTGAGAATTTTTGCATCCAGTTTCATCAAGGATATTTGCCTGTAATTCTCCTTTTTAGTGGGGTCTTTGTTTGGTTTTGGAATCAAGGTAATACCAGCTCCATGGGATGAGTTTGGAAGTTTTCCTTCTATTTCTATCGTCTTGGAACAGTTTGAAAAGAATAGGCAATAACTCTTCTTTAAATGTCCGGTAGAATTCTCCAGGGAAGCCATCTGGCCCACGACTCTTGTTTGTTGGGAGAGTTTTAATTAGTGATTCAACTTTTTTGCTGGCTGTGGGTCTGTTCAAATTTTGTACTTCTTCCTGCTTCAGTTTTTCTAGTCTGTGAGTTTCTAGAAATTTGTCCATTTTTTCCAGATTGCCCAGTTTATTGGCATATAATTTTTCATAGCATTCTCCGATAATTGTTTGTATTCTGTTGTGTTGGTGGTAATCTCTCCCCTTTCATTCATGATTTTGTCTATTTGGGTCCTTTCTCTTTTCTTTTTAATAAGTCTGGCTAGGGGGTTATCAATTTGTCAATTCTTTCAAGGAACCAGCTCTTAGTTTCATTGATCTGTTCTACTGGGTTTTTTGTTTGTTGGTTTTTTCCTGTATCGTTTACTTCTGCTCTTATTTTTATTATTTCCCTTCTTCTACTGGCTTTCAGCTTTATTTGCTGTTCCTTCTCTAGCTCCTTAAGGCGTAAGGTTAGGTTGTGTATTCGGAACCGTTCTTGCTTCTTCAGATAGGCCTAAATGGCAATATACCTCCCCCTTAGGACTGCCTTTGCTGCATCCCAAAGGTTTGGGACTGCTGTGTTTTCACTTAAATATTCTTCCATGGGGTTTTTTATTTCTTTTTTAATTTGTTAATTTCTTTAGCCCATTCATTCTTTAGTAGGATGTTCTTTCACCCCCACATATTCGAGGGCTTTCCAAATTTTTTCTTGTTTATTTCAAGTGTCATCACGTTGTGATCTGAAAATATGCATGGTGTGATCTCAATCTTTTCTACCTGTTGAAGGCTGATATTGTGACCAAGTATGTGATCTATTCTGGAGAATGTCCCATGTTTTTGAGAAGAATTGAGAAGAATGTGTATTCTGCTGCTTTAAGATGAAATGTTGTGAATATATCTGTTAAGTCCATCTGGCCCAGTTTGTCATTCAAAGCCATTGTTTTCTTGTTGATTTTATGATTAGGTGATCTGTCCATTGCTCTAAGTGGGGTATTAAAGTCCCCTACTATTATCGTATTATTAGCAATGTTTTCTATGTTTGTTATTAATTGATTTATATATTTGGGCGCTTCTAAGTGGGGGAGGCGTAAATATTTACAATTCTTTGCTCTACTTGATGGACAGATCCCTTAATTATGACATAATACCCTTCTTCATCTCTTGTTACAGTCTTTAACACTTAGTTTAGCTGATACAATATGGCCGCTCTGGCTTTATTTTCATGTCCATTAGCATGATAAATAGGTTTTCATCCTTTCACATTCAGTCTGCAGGTGTCTTTAGGGCTAAAGTGAGTTTCTTGTAGGCAGCATATAGATGTATCTTGTTTTTTGAATCCATACTGATAAACTTATGTTTTTTGATTAGAGCATTTAGTCCACTTACATTCACAGTGATTATTGAAAGACATGAATTTGGTGCCATTGTGTTAACTGTAGAGTTGGTGTTTGGTGACACTTCTTGGTCCTTTCTAGTTTTTGTTGCTTTTGGTCTTTTTTTTTTGTTTCTCTCTCTCTCCACTCAAAGGGTTCCCCTTAAAATTTCTTGTAGGGCTGGTTTAGTGGTCACAAACCCCTTTAGGTTTTGTTTGTCTGGGAGACTCTTTATCTCTCCTTCTATTTTGAGTGACTGCCTTGCTGGATAGAATAATCTTGGCTGCCTATTTTTTCCATTCAGCATGTAGAATATATCTTGACACTCCTTTCTGCCCTGCCAAGTTTCTGTGGACAGGTCTGCTGTGAACCTGATCTGTCTTCCCTTGTAGGTTAAGGACTTTTTTCCCTTGCTGCTTGCAGGATTCTTTCCCTGTCTGTGTATTTTGTTAATTTGACTGTGATATGTCTTCATGATGGCTAGCTTTTGTTGGATTTAATGGGAATTCTCTGTGTTTCATGGATTTTGATGACTGTGCCCTTCCCCAGTTTAAGGAAATCTTTCAGCTATAATTTGCTCACATAAACCTTCTGGCCCTTCTCTCTCTTCATCTTCTGGGATCCCTGTGGTGCAATTGGTACTTTGTTTTAATAAATCACTGAGTTCCCTAAGTCTGCTTTCATGATCCCTGATCTTTGTTTCCCTCCTCCTTTTCAGCTTGATATTTTCCATAATTTTATCTTCTGTATTACTAACTCACTCCTCTGCCTCATTTATCCTTGTTTGTATGGCATTTGGGTTTGCATCTCGGTTATAGCATTTTTAAATTTGGTCTGACTGGATTTTAGTTCTTTTATGTCTGCAGAAAGGGATTCGCTGGTGTCTTCCATACTTTCTTTCAAGCCCAGCTAGCATCCTTATAATTGTTGTTTTAAATTCTAGTTGAGATATCTTCCTTATATCTGCATTGACTAAATCTTTGG